GTTTTTAACCGTGGAACAGACGGGAGGGGAGGAAGTGGGTGGTGTTGAACCGGGGGAACAGACGGGAGGGGAGAAAAGTGGGTGGTGTTGAACCGTGGAACAGAACGGGAGGGGAGGAAGTGGGTGGTTTTTGAACCCTTTTGGGAAAAGACGGGAGGGGAGGAAAGTGGGTGGTGTTGAACCGTGGAACAGACGGGAGGGAGGAAAGTGGGTGGTGTTGAACCCTGGAACAGACGGGGGGGGAGGAAAGTGGGGGGTGTTGAACCGTGGAACAGACGGGGGGGGGAAAGAAAGTGGGTGGTGTTTAACCGTGGAACAGACGGGAGGGGGGGAAAGTGGGTGGTGTTGAAACCCTGGGAAAAGACGGGAGGGGAGGAAAGTGGGTGGTGTTGAACCGTGGAACAGACGGGAGGGGAGGAAAGTGGGTGGTGTTGAACCGTGGAACAGACGGGAGGGGAAGAAAGTGGGTGGTGTTGAACCGTGGAACAGACGGGAGGGGAAAGGGAAAGTGGGTGGTGTTGAACCGTGGAACAAAACGGGAGGGAGGAAAGTGGGGGTGGTGTTGAACCGTGGGAACAGGACGGAGGGGGGGAAAAGTGGGTGGTGTTGAACCGTGGAACAGACGGGAGGGGGGGAAAGTGGGTGGTGTTGAACCGGGGGAACAGACGGGAGGGGAGGAAAGTGGGTGGTGTTGAACCGTGGAACAGACGGGAGGGGAGGAAAGTGGGTGGTGTTGAAGCATCTGTGGAAACAAAACTATCATGGAAGCAAACTTTTACATAGATGTGAGGCATGAGTTTTAAACGTTGCAGCAGCAAGAAGGAAGATGGAAGCAGTGGAAATGCCATGTTTGAGAGCAATATGTATTGGAAGGCTGAAATTAAGACGGTGTGATGGTTAACTTAAGGTATAATTCACAGGGCTGAGAACGGGTTGTTGAGGTGATTTGAGCATTTAGAGAGGACGAAGCAGAATAGATTGACAAAGAGGGTTTGTAAATTTGGGATGGAAGGAACGAGAGTAAGGGTCATCTCAGGAAGGATTGAAAGAAGAGAGTAAAGGTTTTGAGAGCTAGGAGCTTGAACATTCAACAGGCTTGTGTGTGTGTTAGATCGGAGTGGAAACGAGGGTTTTTTATGGCTTTAGGTGCTGTTGGAGTGTGAACATAACCCCTTGGTGTACAAATAAAGGACTCATGTGCAACTAATGTAACATTTTATTGTGGCAACGTTTCGGCTTGCAAGGATCCTGGAGAGTCTATCTGTGTGTGTGTGTGTGTGTGTGTGTGTGTGTGTGTGTGTGTGTGTGTGTGTGTGTGTGTGTGTGTGTGTGTGTGTGTGTGTGTGTGTGTGTGTGTGTGTGTGATCCAGAAAGGCAGAGTAGTCCAAGAGTCATGGTATGTCACAAGTCTGTCGCTGAGTATTTCCCAGAAGATATTTAGTGTTTCACCAGTCCTGAGGTGAAATGACTCACTGATGACAAGGTCCTGCAGCCTCACCTTCAGTACTCAACACAACGTCAGATTCTGGGTTCACTCAGCTTGATGGCGTTAGTTTTGGCAACGAGTGGTGTGTTTGTGATGGGCCTAATGAGAGCAGTATAGAGGCTAAGTTTTGCGGAGGTATGTGCACTTTTGAGTTTGTATAGGCGAGTAAGAGCAGCACTTAGCAGTGATGTGTGCGTACACTCGTAGGTTGCAGTCGAGGCTGAAGTGAAGTGCCTGGTATAGGTGCTCATGAAACTGGTTCTGAATTCGACAGGGGCAGGGAGACCTCGTATATGGTGGAAATATGTAATTTTAGACTTGGCGTTTTTCCTGATGCTCTGCTTGAGTTCCCATGCGCTGATCCTTTCAACGTCGTGTTGTGTCCTGTGTGCAATGAACTTGGTGTTTCCTGAAGTGTGAGCTGTATAGTGTCTACACATGTGATGGTGATGGATGTATGGGTTCTGGTATGTCGTATGTGTAAAATATGTACAGAGAGTACACAGTCCTTCGGGACTCCAGCGTGAAAAGTGAAGATTACTAATATTGGTAGAATACGACAGTATGCTTGGTAAAAGGACACATGTGCAAGTAACCTGACATTTTATTGCGGCCACGTTTCGCTCTCCAGGAAACGTTGCCGCATCGTACGGCCATCAAGGAAGTTACCAGAGCCCTTTAGTCATGTTGGTAAGAAGGTCAGATGAATTGCAAAGCTTGTACTTTAAGTCATCGAGCCAGACCGTGTCGAAAGTCTTCTCCACGTCCTTGGCAACGAGGGCAGTAGCACAATCTTGAACCTTTTTGATTTATATAAAGTTCAGGATGATGTTTAAAACGTCTTGTGTAGAACGTTGTCGGAAACCAAAGTGTCGGTGGGTCAGTAGGTAATTTGTTTCAAGGTAAGTACCTAGTGCTAAGTTAACAAGTCTCAAAAGTCTTCCCTGGGATTTCTAGCAGGCATAATTATAGGCCTGTGGGTTCTTCGGGTTGGTCAAATCTTTAGTCGGGTGTGGGAGGGAAGCCGTAGCAGACTTTAGGAGAGTGGGAAACTAACCAGAAGCAAGAGGCGTTGAATACATTAGTGAGAGTAATAGCAACAGTATGGAAGGTGTCTTAAGTAAAAAGTGAGATAGACCAGATTCACCAAGTGTTTTACAGAGAAGGGACTTGACGTACGTTGTGTGAAAGGAGTGTGGAGAAGAATGTCCAGGGTAATGATAGGGTCGTGTGCGGAGATATGGCTGTGGTCCTTGATCCAGTGTGTATTGTATACGTTGTAGTGTAGCTGGGTCTGGTGGATATGGGAGGAATAAAGTTTCCCAGATGTCCTCGAAAATGCGTACAGCCTCTGCTGGGTCAAAAGATGTGTCTACCATGAATATGTTGGAATTACGTTATGTTTGCGGTTCCCATGACTTTTCGGACGATAGCCTGTGCCACTTTTGGTCCTCCTCGAGGCTGTGGATGATATGTATCCGAGGGATACAGAGGTGTCATCGTATTTTGGCAGAATCTGTGGAACCTTGGTAATTGATACCGACAAATTGGTTTAAAACGACACGTGAACAAACACTCGGACCTTTATTAGAAAACGTTTCGGTCCTGTGTTGGTTAGAGAGAAAGTGGTGAGGGAAGCAGAGGTCCTTCTGGACAAGCAGAAGGAATAACGTACCTCGTAGTGTCTCTTGGGCACTGATTTTTCAGCAGTTTAGGTGATGAGTGTTGTATGGCGTTCACGTGTCTGTAATGGAGTTGATGTCGTAGTTGTGTGTGAGATCAGTGTGATCGAGGTGTTTGAAAGTTGTGAATAAATTTTTAGAAAACCGATATGTTGATAAATGAGACACGTGCAATATTTGGGTATCTTTATGCTGGAAACGTTTCGCCAGTCAGTTCCCCTCAAGGAAGGTTCCTTGATGTTGGTGAGGGGCTCTTGATTTAGGGAATTGGATCTGTGCCCCAGTTCCCCGAATTAAGCCTGAATGCCTTCCACATCCCCCCCCAGGCGCTGTATAATCCTCCGGGTTTAGCGCTTCCCCCTTGATTATAATAATAATAATAATCGCCAGTCAGTTGCTTCTTCAGTCAGTACAGAGGAAGATAGAAGAGGAGGAGTTTGAGGTAATCAGTCCCTCAGCCTGGAGTCAATGTTATGAGTCTTGACGGACTAATTCCCTCAAACTAAGAGATATGAAATATTGAAGGTGACTTTTAGCTCTGTTGCTAATGGCTCGGGTTTTCTCTAGCTGTGTAGTTGAATTTATTATTAAAGATTCGCCTGTATTCTCCCGGCCCGGGCCTTTTCCAAGTGGTGGCCTGGCTTTGGCTCCCTGTCTTGGGAGTGTCTGAGACCTAAGTCTCCCAAAGGAGGAGGCACAAGTACCTCCTCATGTTTGGGAGCAACTGTCCCCAAGCCTTGCCACAAGCTAGGCCTAGGTGGCCCGGTGGTCTGGTGGCTAAAGCTCCCGCTTCACACACGGAGGGCCCGGGTTCGATTCCCGGCGGGTGGAAATTCCGACACGTTTCCTTACACCTATTGTCCTGTTCCCCTAGCAGCAAATAGGTCCTGGGTTGTTAGCGACGGGTGTGGGTCGATCCTGGGGGCAAGTTTAAAGGACCCCAAGGGGAAATGTTAGACAGCCCTCGATGAGCACTGACTTTTTTGGGGTTATCCGGGGTGGTACCCTCGGGGTTAAAAACCCGAAAAAAATTTATCTTATCTTATTTATTCTGGCTCCCATCCCCCCCCCAAAGGGGGGGCTAAGGGAATGACAGTCTTGTGAGTGCGGGTCTGGCTCGGGCCCCTACCTCCCCTAGGGGGTGGGCATGGTGCGATGTTTATTTGAAGAAAAATACATTAATAATATTTTTGAAACGAGGAAATTAAAATGTTTTGTATTTGATGTAATTGTCTTTGAGTGAATCGTTATCACGGTAAATATTACAATACATTAATTATTTACGCATTTTTAAAAGGTTAAGAGGAGATTTGTGTGGTAAAAAAAAGTTTTTTTTTCGGGCTTGTGTTTAAGTTTGACTGGCGTAACCTGGGTTAGCCATGGGGGTTTCTTCCTGGGAAATGATTCTTGATGGGGGGTCCTGCCCCACACTCCCCCTCTCCTCCATCACAATCACCGAAAAACCACTCCACACTCTCCAAAACCACTCCACATCTCCAAACCATCCCCCCTCTCCAAAACCACTCTCCCCACTATAACATTTGCCATACTAATGGCCCCATTTTCCAGCCCCAGAAAATTATTAGCCACCAATTCGCCCAAAAAAACAATCAAAAGAACAAAATTTACGACGGAAAGACAAAGGAAGGGGCCCGGGAAAAAAAGTAGAGAGAGAAAAAGGGCAAGGTGAGCGGGATGTCGCAGGAGGCAGGAGGTGGAGTTACTGCAGAGCGCTGCTGGAGTGGGCAGCCTCAGATGCCTGGTCAGGGGGCAGCTTTCTTCACCCAAAATTTGGGGACTCGGGCCCGGGCCCCCCCCCCCCCCCCCCCTCACTGTGGCTGTCATTGCTTTAGACAGGTAAGCATGTTTCTGTACGAAATTTTAAGTTTTTGAGGGGAAGGTGGGGGGGGGGGAAGGTTGGTTATAAAGATTTCTTGATCCAAGGAATTAGAGCTGCCCCCCTTCCTTGGATCAAAACTCTTACCTCCTTTCCCTAGGCCCCTTTATGACCCTACATACTCAGCTCTTACCCTTGGATATAATAATAAATAATAATAAAAATTATTTTGATTTCAAGTTAAATATAAGTTTTATATGTTAATGGTTCACAAAACCTACAAGTTGATGAATAAGACATGTTTATTGTTATATGATGGAGACATTTTGCCAACCTTGGGCTATTATCAGTCTGATGTAGAGAATAATACTGTGGATGGTGGAAAAATGTTGATACTGGGAGATGATCAGTCCCTCATCCTTGACGAGTTTCTTATGGAATAGTACTGTAACAATAATAATAATAATATAATAATAATGTTTATTTCTGCATGTTACAACATATACAGACCATAGTTGACATCAGTGACATACAATATAATAAGCTCCCCTGGTTATGCAGAGCATAATACAAGTAGTAGTAGTTTGAGGTGATAATAAGTCAATTAATCTATTTCCACATGATACATCTTTTGTATAAAAGTGAGTAACATTACATCTCTCGCATGAAAAGCCCTTTAGTTAAACAGAATATTTCTGATAAGTTTAAACCTAACTTACATCAAGAAGACCTTTATTATTTTACATACTTGTATATAAGATTGATTTTCACAATAAAATAGACGAGTCCCTCATCCTTGATGAACCTGAGACAATGAAAGATGTGAAGTGGAAGAGTAGTCTGAGGTGATCACCATTGTTCTGCATGTCAAACTGCTATCTCCTGTATTATTCTCTGTATTGGATTAATAAAGCCACTGGTTGACGAGATGTGCATACAGTAGATATCTAAGTATTATACATGTCTTATTCGCCTTAAATATGAGTTATGTCAATACTCCAACATTAATTAGGAGGGGGGGGGGAGGTTGTGTAATGGAGACTATATTTGGGCCTGATGGGAAGGGGGGGGGGAAACCTTGGTAGGCAACCCAAACTAACCTGAAAGAGGAGTAATTTTGGATTAGGTTGGGTTATATTACATTAGAATTTTTACATAAAAAGTCTTAAACAGCTCAAATGGTAAAAAAAAAAAAGTTTGGTCTAGTACATTGATACTTACAAAATCGTATATTTATATATTTAAATTTAATTTAATATGATTTAATTTAATCTTTTTACTTATAATTATAAAATGTTTTGCCTAGCACAGTGATTATTAAAAATCTGTATTGGCCAAATTTTACTGTATATTGTAGTACAGTAGTGTAGGTGGAATACAATAAGATAAAGAACTTTATTACTATGCATATAATACATGTATGTAGATATGCTCTTGATAGTGTAAAAGTATGAAAGTGTATGAGACATAAGACTGCAATACATTATACAGTACCTAGTGTGTCCAAAATACTTCTCATACAAGGAGCTTTTCCTACAACGGAAATATTGTATTACCATAACTATATCCAATTCACTGTATTATTCATGTATATTTTAATGAAATAATTTTAAGTTTTCTCCATGGGGAAGTGGAACAGAATTCTTCCTCCGTAAGCCATGCGTATAGTAAGAGGTGACTAAAATGCCGGAAGCAAGGGGCTAGTAACCCCTTCTCCTGTATAAATTACTAAATTTAAAAAGAGAGACTTTCGTTTTTCTTTTTGGGCCACCCTGCCTCGGTGGGATACGGCCGGTTTGTTGAAAAAAAATAATTTAAGTTTTGAGTCCCTTGCACAGTACAGTATTCTCTTCTTCTTCAGGATCACTAACCATATTGTTTTAGCATGAATATAATGTTATTACAGATACTTAGCAATTGTTCGTCCTATGGTTTATGGGTTGATGGTGACTGGGAACCGCTGCTTGCTGATGTTAGCCTGGTGTTGGGTTCAAGCTCTTCTCACTGCTCTACCACCATTACTGGGATGGGCCAGGTATGTACATTTCTTATCTCTACAACTAAAAACTCTTCTTAGGTGTTAGGTCAATTAAATGAAGTTGAAACTGTTTACATAAGTAAATACAGTAATAAGTCTAGACTTTGGGTACTTAAATTACAACTGTCTTTTCAAAATTATCCTGAGGGCATGCTTGTTATACCTGTTAGTTTAATATCTTCATTATGCACCCCATACCCATCCTGTGGGCAGTTGCCTCTTATGGCCACATATGAAAGTACATTTTTATTTAAATTTAACCTAGGATAATCCAATAAAATAAATGTAACTTATTTCCATTGGTGTTTAATTTATATAGTTAATCATATATACATGCCATCAGTTATACTAAAATGAATATATCAGATCAGTAAATCACATTAACCTTCAACCTTTATCATGCAAGTATTATTATTATTTTTTTTCCTTGTGACATTTTATTATCCTGCCTGTCCAGTCACATATCCTTTGCACGGTTGAATCCTTTGCACGGTTGAATCCTTTGCACGGTTGAATCCTTTGCACGGTTGAATATAGTATTTCAGTGTACATGTATTATGAATTCAAAAAATTGTTTACTATTACAGTGGTACCTCGGTACACAACCTTAATTCGTTCCAGAAGGCTGTTCATGTGCCGATCTGTTCAAGTACCAAACGAATTTATTCCCATAAGGAATAATGTAAAGTAGATTAATCCATTTCAGACCCCCAAAAATACACTTACAAAAACACTTACAATGATGTACTTGCATAATTGTTTGACTTGGGAGCTTGTCGTATACCGAGGTACCACTGTACTACATGTATAAATTTGTGTTTTTATACTTTTATCTTGTGATTGCTACCTTTGCTTTACCCATAAGCCATAACTAGCTCCACAGCTGTGTAAGTTTTCATAGCATTAAATAGTCTATGTCTTGGTTTAAGCATTGTCCAAACTTCTGTGCATATCATAAACTTGCCATCCGGTGGCCTGGTGGCTAAAGCTCCCGCTTCACACACGGAGGGCCCGGGTTCGATTCCCGGCGGGTGGAAACATTTCGACAGTTCCTTTCACCTGTTGTCCTGTTCACCTAGCAGCAAATAGGTACCTGGGTGTTAGTCGACTGGTGTGGGTCGCATCCTTGGGGACAAGATTAAGGACCCCAATGGAAATAAGTTAGACAGTCCTCGATGACGCACTGACTTTCTTGGGTTATCCTGGGTGGCTAACCCTCCGGGGTTAAAAATCCGAACGAAATCTTATCTTATCTTATCTTATCTTATAATTTTTCGGGAAATAAAGTAGCAGCTTCAGTTCGTCGACAATCATCAGTCATCCATTGTCAGTCATTTATCATCGTTCATTCATCATCAATTGTTTATCACACAAATAACTAGAGAAAAGCATTTAGAATACTGCTTTAATATCTAGGAATTATTAAGTAGTAGTGTAAATATAGGTTATATACAGGAGGGGAGAGTGGTTGAAAAAGTGGAATGAGTTGGATGAGGATGTGATACCTGGAGTATACCTGGAGAGGGTTTCAGGCATCAATGCCCCCACAGCCCAGTCTGTGATGGAGGCAAATTCAGTACACAGTTTTAAAATTAGTTATAATAATGTCCAGAAAGCATTAACACTTTTCACAGTAGTGTAGGGGGCAGGATCATGAGCTGAAGCTTAAGCCCAGTGAATCACAAAGTTAGTACAAATTGGTAAGTGCCTCTCTTGTGTACATGTTTAGTACCTTTATAGTTAAGAATGGGTGTAGCTAGCTTATGGATTTTTTTATATAGTATTTCTTTAACCATATATTGTAATTAATATTACAGTAGTTGAAAGTATATTTTTCTTTTAATAATTTTCTTGAGGCTAAAAGTCTGTGTGATTCTATATAGTTTACTATGGCAGTGAATCTCATTATAATTTGTATAGCACATTAATACTGATCGAAACATTAAATTATTCACCGAAGTTCTTTCCACTAGTTAGTGTATTAATGACTAACTAGAATTTAATTCATAGCATGAATAGTGCTAATTATACCTAGAATTAAATGTTGCCTTCATACTGAGAATTCTAGACATTATCTTCATTATGACATGACAAGTAATGTAGAAGTGTAGTTGAACACAGACATTTTGACAAAGGCAGCATGCATGTTCAAATGGGAATCCTCATTATCATAAACTTTTAATCATAAACTATTAATCATAGAATTGATGAGGGAAAAAAAGGTGAGTGGTGCGTTGAGGTATATGTAGAGTCAAAAAACGTTATCTATGGAGGCAAAGAAGGGAATGTATGAAAGTATAGTAGTACCAACACTCTTATATGGGTGTGAAGCTTGGGTTGTAAATGCAGCAGCGAGGAGACGGTTGGAGGCAGTGGAGATGTCCTGTCTAAGGGCAATGTGTGGTGTAAATATTATGCAGAAAATTCAGAGTGTGGAAATTAGGAAAAGGTGTGGAGTTAATAAAAGTATTATTCAGAGGGCAAAAGAGGGGTTGTTGAGGTGGTTTGGTCATTTACAGAGAATGGATCAAAGTAGAATGACATGGAAAGCATATAAATCTATAGGGGAAGGAAGGCGGGGTAGGGGTCGTCCTTGAAAGAGTTGGAGAGAGGGGGTAAAGGAGGTTTTGTGGGCGAGGGGCTTGGACTTCCAGCAAGCGTGCGTGAGCGTGGTAGGTAGGAGTGAATGGAGACGAATGGTACTTGGGACCTGACGATCTGTTGGAGTGTGAGCAGGGTAATATTTAGTGAAGGGATTCAAGGAAACCGGTTATTTTCATATAGTCGGACTTGAGTTTTGGAAATGGGAAGTACAGTGCCTGCACTTTAAAGGAGGGGTTTGGGATATTGGCAGTTTAGAGGGATATGTTGTGTATCTTTATATGTATATGCTTCTAAACTTGTATTCTGAGCACCTCTGCAAAAAGTGATAATGTGTGAGTGAGGTGAAAGTGTTGAATGATGATGAAAGTATTTTCTTTTTGGGGATTTTCTTTCTTTTTTGGGTCACCCTGCCTCGGTGGGAGATGACTGACTTGTTGAAAAAAAAAACAACATATATATATACAGTTAAGTCTGAGTTTCCTCAATTCATATCAAAGTTGCAATAAGACATTTTTCCTCTTATTTTTGCAGGTATAAGAGCCATGGTGCAGAGGCACAGTGTAGCATAGCTTGGTCAGGTTCCCCATCTTACACTGCTGTTTGGGTCATCAGTGTCTTCCTCATTCCTGTTATTATTATGCTTATATGTTACTACTACATTCTTCAGGTTATTATCATCATTGTTGCTATAATTAAGTTGGATATTATGAGCTAATATTGTTCTTAATACATTAAATACATTAAAAATACTGTATCAGTTTGTCTGGGTGAAACCATGTCATTTTATTGAAATAATAAGAAGTGTGCTACTTATATTAGGAAAAATAAGCCAGTGTATTAAGCAGTATAAAACATTGCATAAAAAATGGGATGAAATAAGTTTTGGTGGTTTTTTAACTGACCTGGAGTTGATCCTTAATAGTACAGGTTTAAAAATATCTTTGTAGTGCTAGTCTTAGAAAAATTTATTATAGTAAAATGCTTAATTTATTTTTGTATACAGTACAATAAGACTAAATACTGTTTTCTAGAATAATTGAAAGTTTTGTGCTAATATGTATAACCACTACAATGAGCTCTATCAATAATATAATGCAAAATTAAAATTGAGGTTTTTAATTTAGATTTTTTTTTTTTGTTCATAGTATGATATAATGAAATTTTCTGCCACCATTCTGTTGCAGGTGGCACGCAATAAATGCAGACAGATTCATGTAGGAAAAGTATTGGGGTCCATCTCCTCTCCCATCACTCCAGAGCCTTCCTCCGTCTGTCTGGATGACACTTGTCTCCCACGTGTTTCGAAGCCTCCGCTGGAAAATGGATCAAGTATTCCACTACAGGGTAGATTAAATCTTCTTCTGGAGAGTAGGTTAAGCGTTCCTTTACAAAATGGATCAGGCCTGTCTCTAGAGCACAAATCCAGCCACCCTTTGATAAATGGTACAGGACATCTGCAGATTCCAAACTCTGGTGTGTCTGAGGGCCTGGGTGCTCTTACTAGTCAAGATATACCTTGTCGAAGTCGCAGTGTCACTCTCATGAACAGGGTAAGTGTATTACTTCTTAATGTTTGCTATTTTTTTTTTGTGTAGTTGTTTCCAGTTGTTTGACTCATTTTGTTTGTGGTGCAAATTGAGGCCGAAAGTGCCGTGTATTGCAGATCAGTGAAGCTGGTACGGCGTCGTTTGCACCCAAAAGGAAACTGGCAGACTTTGGGAGGTCACTATCATTCTGTCAGGTGAGCCAAAGAGTGCAGCTGTACAGTACAGTGCATAATACTGAAAGCATGACTATCTGCAGAGGCTTTTTGATATAGCAAGCGATGGGATCAGTTTTTTCTGTAGATTGTGATATTTAAAAAAAAAAATATGACAAAGAAAAATTAACAGAAACATGTGCCTGCTTTCATGCATTTGCACACATCCTTAGAGGAAGATGTGTGTAAATGCATGAGTGCTCGTTGGTGCTTGTTGATTTTTTTCCACGTGGTATTTTTTCGTGTTTATAGTCGAGCATTTTATAGTTGTTTCTTCCCATTATAATAGGTATATTTTCTGTTAATATTTTTTCAATAATGCTTACCTGCTCTTGGCACTATGAGAAGCACCTCCAGTTAACCATCTTTTTAATATATTGTATGCCTTAGTTATTTCTTTATTTAGAAGCCCTAATATGTAATTTTAATTCTTTAGCTTTTCTTTTTTTTTTTTTAAACAAGTCGGCTGTCTCCCACCGAGGCAGAGTGACCCAAAAAGAAAGAAAAAATCCCCAAAAAGAAAATACTTTCATCATCATTCAACACCTTCACCTCACTCATACATAATCACTGTTTTTGTAGAGGTGCTCAGAATACAACAGTTTAGAAGTACTGTATATACGTATAAAAATACACAACATATCCCTCCAAACTGCCAATATCCCAAACCCCTCCTTTAAAGTGCAGGCATTGTACTTCCCATTTCCAGGACTCGAGTCTGGCTATATAAAATAACCGGTTTCCCTGAATCCCTTCACTAAATATTACCCTGCTCACACTCAAACTGCTCATCAGGTCCCAAATACCATTCGTCTCCATTCACTCCAATCTAACACGCTCACGCACACTTGCTGAAAGTCCAAGCCTCTCGCCCACAAAACCTCCTTTACCCCCTCCCTCCAACCTTTTTGAGGACGACCCCTACCCTGCCTTCCTTCCCCTACAGATTTATGTGCTCTCCATGTCATTCTACTTTGATTCATTCTCTCTAAATGACCAAATCACCTCAACAACCCCTCTTCAGCCCTTTGACTAATACAGTGGACCCCCACTTTACGATCAGCTCCTAATGCGACCAATTATGTAAGTGTATTTATGTAAGTGCGTTTGTACGTGTATGTTTGGGGGTCTGAAATGGACTAATCTAATTCACAATATTCCTTATGGGAACAAATTCGTTCAGTAATGGCACCTGAACATACTTCTGGAATGAAATAATATCGTAAACCGGGGGTCCAGTGTACTTTTATTAACTCCACACCTTCTCCTAGCTTGTATTAGAAAAATCAATTCTGTTTGTCTGTTTGTATGTGGTGTAAATCATTAGCATAAAGTACTGTACCCCCCTACTTGTTATTCACAAACTTTGCATTCACAGATTCAGTTATCCGTGTGTTTTGTTTTGCATCATGTTATCCATTATCTTCTGTAATCAAAGTAAGAGTTGAACTTAATCTTGTATAAGTCATTATACAAATTCGGGTCATAAAAGTTACTTAAGTGTGAGAAAGTTAGAGTAAGGTACCACTTACACAAGAACTCGGTAATTATTTTTCACACCTAAACTAAGTATAAGAGGAGTATCAAGCTCAGTTTTTTAAGTCCTGCAGATTATAAGAGGTGATTAGATGGGGTACAGTACTGCATATGTAAGTAGTAAGGCTTGGCTTTTAACTAGTAGCTGTATATAGTTGTATAGTTCTGTATGTGTACAGTATTACAGTACTTTTCTATTCAAAAAGTGTAATTCTTTGCATGTTTTGAACTGCATGACAAATAACATATATATACTACATTGCCTTGCATCTCATTGATATATACATGGTACCTTAATAATCTGGTACAGTTTCTATAAATGATGGTACTAACATTTTCTTTGTATTTGTGGAAGCAGCCACAGACTGTTCGACCATGCTTGCGACGGGCACAGAGTAGTATCTCCATGCGACCATCAACAGCAAGGAAGAAATTGAGCCTGGGAGGCCGCAAACCTTCATGGAGCTGGGAAGCTTCGCCGGCCAAAGGATTTAGGTAAGGTTAAACATTTTTTCTTAGAATACAGTGTGTTTTGAAATGAGATGAGCTCGTGCTGTCATCTTCGTGGTTCAATTTGTCAGGCAGTTTATCAGTTTCCAACACTTACTATTATTTCTTAGATTTTGTTTCAGAGTACCACTGTCATGTTTATGAAGACAACTTTATAATGCAGTATCCTTATTTTGCACTGTCTTTTATGTAAATTTACACTTCTGACTTCTTTTTCTTCATGTTAATGGTGCTAGGAAATTTAGATTTTTTTGTATTGTAAGCTTTTATGATCTTGCATCTGGTTTTCATCTCACTTGTTTCTACTACCATGATCAGCCAGGGCAGTTAGTGTTTTCAGTCTTGGCAGCTCAAATTTTTAGGTCTGGGACCTCTTTTTTTAGGGAACACCATGCTATCACTGTGTATTTAAATTTTGACCAAACATACACTGTGAGCATCAATTCTTGTAGAATTTTCCCATGCATATATGGGAAGGGCAATTTAAAGTTTGCCAGTGTAGTTTAAGTGTCTCACCATTACATTTGCTGATCTTCTGGTAACAATGTTTAGGGCATAATGACATTAGCTTGTTGGACTATGTATTGGTAGCTAAAAGGCTGATGGGTAGACTTCCGAATGTGCATGTTTATAGAGGGGCAGCAAACATATCACATCATTATTTAGTTGTAGCTGCAGTGAGCCTAAGAGGTAGATGGGTTACAAGGAGAATAGCAACAATGAGCAAGAGATACATGAAGTTTATAAATTAAAGGATGAGATAGTGTAAAATTCATACGACAAATGGGAGAAAGATGGGATAGCGAGTGTATAGGTGATGAGAAGGTTGGAGAGGTATGGGAGAGATTTAAGAATGCAGTGTTAGTGTTCAGCAGAAGTTTGTGGATATAGGGGAGTGGGTGCAGGAGGAAAGAGGAGCAGTTGGTATAAAGAAGTAAAGGGAGTGGTAAGGAAGAAAAAGTTAGCATATGAGAGGGTTTTTACAAAGCAGAAGTGATATAAGGAGGGTGGAGGGTATAGAGTGTAAAAGAGAGGTTTACAGTGTAAAGGGAAAATAAATGAGAGTTGAGAAGTCTAGGGAATGAATTGATCTGACAGTTATAAACAGAATAAGGCAGTTAAATGTTGAAGAAAGAGAGGCAGTGATTTCATGTATTGGCCAGGGAGGTTTAACATCCTTTAGGAGTAAGGAAGAGCCAGATATGAGTGTGGTGGAGTTGTGTGAAACAGTAGTTAAAATGAAAGAGGGTAAAACAGCTGGGAATGATGGGATCATGACAGAAATGTTAAAAGTAGGTGGGAAAATAGTTTTGGAATGGTTGGTACTTTTGTTCAGTAAATGTATGGAAGAGGGGAAGGTACTTTAGGGAATGACAGAGAGTATGCATAGTTCCTTTGTATAAAGGAAAGAGGGACAAAAGAATGTAAAAATTTTAGGGCAATAAGTATGTTGAGTATACCAGGTAAAGTGTATGGTAGCATTATTATTGAGAGAATGAAGGGTAAGACGGAGATTAAGATTGCTTGTTTAAAGTGCCAGAGAGGACAGATACAAAAAGGTATATACCATAAATAAGTATATCTGTATATAACTTTAAGACCTTTAACCCTTTGAGGGTCGACAGGCCCTCTCCGAAACTCGTTCTCAGGGTCGGCCAAATTTAAAAAAAAAAAAAATTATTTTCTCTTATGAAAAGATAGAGAATCTTTTCCCGATCATAAAGACACCAAAAGTTTGAAATTTGATAGAAAACTTACGGAATTATGCTCTCGCAAAGTTAGCGGTCTTGGCGATGTTTACGCATCGGCGATTTTGCCCACTTTGAGCCCCATTTTCGGCCAATTTCACTGTACTAGTCGACAAAAAACATGAATATTTCGCTAGAACTCCATTTTTTCTATCGAATGGATGCAAGAAACCACTCATTTATGAAATTCAACTATCCAGTACAGTGGTCAGAATTTAGCAATTTTGCCAATTTCACACAAATTTCAAAAGATGCCAATTTCGGAATAGGGTCCAGAATAAACAAGAAAGACATTCCTGGCACTAAAACGACATTTCCTCTAGTCATTAGTCATGTCTCAAGTCCCCTCTTATATTCTTTTGCTTTCCACTTTGAATTTTTATTTTCACAAAAAATATAAGATTTACTGTTATGCAGACTACTGCATTAGTGTAAAAAATGGTATAAATATTATTGGTGCACTTGTGAAAGAATATTAGACTCACCAGTTGACGTGTATTGCACGCTTGGCACGATTTGTTTACTTTTGAAGTTTGGTAAAAATCGAACATTTCTGCTACTTTGAGCTCAATTTCAAGGCACCTTTCTTTGTAAAACCAGTCAAAATCATCTCAATTTCTGTAATATGTCTTCCATTCTATAAAATGAGACCCAAGAAAACTAGAATACAACAATAAATACCAATACGAAAATACACTGCAAAGTCGCTGATTTATTCAAAAAAAATGGTCAAAGTTTTTTTTTTCTCATTATGCACTGTGTGCTGCAGGATTTTTTTTAGACTGTGCACACTGACCACATAGACCCATTCTTTCATATGAAGGCCTACCAGCTTTCTCCCACTAGATTTGAGGCCGCTAGAATTTATGAGTACTAGTACGTCAAAAACCCCTACGCGTAAAACGTACTAGTACGATGAAAACCCTCAAAGGGTTAAAAGTAATATACGATTTCCCTCGCCTAACAAACTCGGAGTTTCAAATATTTACACTTATGAATGGATCATAACCATCCTTCGTTATTGATTTTTATAGGAAAATAGGTTTGTTATCAGCAACATGTTCATAAGTTGGAAAACCAGGAACACAACTTTTTCACAAATTAAGGATCATATACTATATTATCAATTCACCTTTGTTTTGCATTATAATGATGATGTATGATAAATGTGACATTTGTGCAACATTTGGACATCTTTAATCCAGAATGTTGCACAGGTGTCTCATTTATCAACTTGTTGGTTTTGTAAACCATTTATTCACATGTGTTTTCATTTTTGTACAGGACAGTTTGTGTGGTGGTTGGGACTCATGTATTCACTTGGGCTCCATACTCTGCCTTGGCTATAGCAGAGGCTATACTGGGTCAGGAATATTCCTCTCATATCCCTCACTGGGTCACGGTTAGTGTCACTTGATCAACCTCTTCAATTAGCTGGTGTGAATGGCTACATTGGTACTATACAGATGCTCCTTGCTTTACACTGGTTCAGCTTATGATATTTTGACTTTATAATGGTGTTATAGTGGTGCACATTTGTACTTTACATATACTGATAGGATAAACTTGTATTCATTTATTTACTTTTTAATAATGGTATTTAGTTACAGTAATTACTTGTTTATTTAATTATTCCATGACAGTAGTTATTTATTTACTTAACCCTTTGAGGGTCGCCAGGCCCTATCAGAGACTTGTTCTCAGGGTCGCCAAAATTTAAAAGAAAAAAAAAATTTCTCATGAAAAGATAGAGAATCTTTTCCCGATCATAATGACACCAAAAGTATGAAATTTGATGGAAAACTTACGGAATTATGCTCTCACGAAGTTAGTGGTCTCGACGATGTTTATGCATTGGCGATTTTGCCCATTTTGAGCTCTATTTTCAGCCAATTCCAGTGTACTAGTCGACAAAAATCATAACTATTTCGCCAGAACTCCGTTTTTTCTATTGAATGAGTACTGGAAACCACTCATTTACTGATTTCAACTATCCAATAAAGTGGTCAGAATTTAGCAATTTTGCCAATTTCACACAAATTTCAAAAGATGCCAATTTCCAAATAGGGTCCAGAATAAACAAGAAAGACATTCCTGGCACTAAAATAACATTTTCTCTGTTCATTAGTCACGTCCCCAGGCCCCTCTTACATTTCTTTTACTTTCCACTTTGAATTTTTATTCTCGCAAAAAAAAATAAGATTTACTGTTATGCAGACTACTGCATTAGTGTAGAAATGGTATAAATAATATCAGCGCACTTGTGAAAGAATATTAGACTCACCAGTTGATGTGTATTGGATGCTTAGCATGATTTGTTTACTTTTGAACTTTGGTAAAAATCGAGCATTTCTGCTACTTTGAGCTAAATTTTTAAGGTACTTTTCATTGTAAAACCAGTCAAAATCATCTCAATTTCCGTAATATGTCTTCCATTCTATACAATGAGACAGGAAAACTAGAATACTACAACAATAAATACCATATGAAAATACGGTGCAAACTCGCTGTTTTAAACCAAAAACACGGTCAGTTTTTTTGTTCTCATTACACACTGTGTGCTGCAGGATTTTTTTTATACTGCACACACTGACCACATAGACCCATTCTTTCATATGTAGGCCTACCAGCTTTCTCTTGCTAGATTTGAGGGCGCTAGAATTTATACGTACTAGTACGTCAAAAACCCTGGCGCATAAGCCGTACTAGTACGGCCAAAACCCCGAAAGGGTTAAAGGAAGGTCTCGCCTATGCAGCAGGTTAAGTTCCAGGGCCCTGCTTATGCAGCAGGTCAGGTTTTGGGCCTCGCTTATGCAGCAGGTCAGGTTCTGGGCCCCACTTATACAGTAGGTTATGTTCTGAGCTACTGTTGTAAAGTGAAACAGCCTTGTTTTGCTTTCAAATGCATATAAAAGCCTGATAAAATGTTTGCATTATCATATATTAAGTGAGCATATACAGTACATGCATTACTTGCCTTAAAATATTTTATCCTTAGCTTATAGTAAGTGGTGAATATATTTATTGTAGGAAGTGTGGATAAAGATTGTGTATAATTAAAGAATGCTGGAAGGCTGGGCCTTCCTGTATTTATCACATCACTTATATTTGACTTAAAATATTTTCAACTTACGATGGGATATACTTCAGGTTCATCAGAATGTAACCCCATCATAGGTCTAGGAGAACCTGTTTTCCGTTATCAGTCTTTTAGTTGTACAGTAGTAAAAACTGTAGTGGGTAGTAGACCCATGGAGACTGCTAGACAATTAATAAAAAGAAGATTGTTTTCCTGAGACATAATTCAATAGCAATGTTAAGGAAGACTGTACAGAAAAAAAAAAAAACAGTTGTGAAAATATGTCATTTGCTATAACTACCCAGGGACACTATCTAAAATTACTAACACTTGCTCCCCATATTGACCTAGCAGTAGATACTTGGATGTTAGCTGTTGTAGGTGGCATCCTTGGCAGGGTGAAACATGTGACAAGTCTCCTTACATCTGCTACTTGTGTGCACCTAGCATAAATAGATACCTGGGTATTAATCAACTAATGAGCGGTTTCCTTGAGGGTGGTAGTGTACCTTACATGGGGCAGGGCTGGTAGTGTACCTTACATGGGGCAGGGCTGGTAGTGTACCTTACATGGGGCAGGGCTGGTATGTACCTTACATGGGGCAGGGCGGTAGTGTACCTTTCAGGGGCGGCTGGTAGTGTACCTTACAGGGGCAGGGCTGGTAGTGTACCTTACATGGGGCAGGGCTGGTAGTGTACCTTACATGGGGCAGGGCTGGTAGTGTACCTTACATGGGGCAGGGCTGGTAGTGTACCTTACATGGGGCAGGGCTGGTAGTGTACCTTACATGGGGCAGGGCTGGTAGTGTACCTTACATGGGGGGAGGGCTGGTAGTGTACCTTACATGGGGCAGGGCTGGTAGTGTACCTTACATGGGGCAGGGCTGGTAGTGTACCTTACATGGGGCAGGGCTGGTAGTGTACCTTACATGGGGCAGGGCTGGTAGTGTACCTTACATGGGGCAGGCTGGGAGTGTACCTTACATGGGGGAGGGCTGGTAGTGTACCTTACATGGGGCAGGGCTGGTAGTGTACCTTACATGGGGCAGGGGGTGGTAGTGTACCTTTCATGGGGCAGGGCTGGTAGTGTCCTTACATGGGGCAGGGCTGGTAGTTGTACCTTACATGGGGCAGGGCTGGTAGTGTACCTTTACATGGGGCAGGGCTGGTAGTGTACCTTACATGGGGCAAAGGGGTGGTAGTGTACCTTACATGGGCAGGGCTGGTAGTGTACCTTACATGGGGCAGGGCTGGTAGTGTACCTTACATGGGGCAGGGCTGGTAGTTACCTTACATGGGGCAGGGCTGGTAGTGTACCTTACATGGGGCAGGGCTGGTAGTGTACCTTACATGGGGCAGGGCTGGTAGTGTACCTTACATGGGGCAGGGCTGGTAGTGTACCTTACATGGGGCAGGGCTGGTAGTGTACCTTACATGGGGCAGGGCTGGAAATGACCTTACCCTGGGCAGGGTGGTAGTGTACCTTACATGGGGCAGGGCTGGTAGTGTACCTTACATGGGGCAGGGCTGGTAGTGTACCTTACATGGGGCAGGGCTGGTAGTGTACCTTACATGGGGCAGGGCTGGTAGTGTACCTTACATGGGGCAGGGCTGGTAGTGTACCTTACATGGGCAGGGCTGGTAGTGTACCTTACATGGGGCAGGGCTGGTAGTGTACCTTACATGGGGCAGGGCTGGTAGTGTACCTTACATGGGGCAGGGCTGGTAGTGTACCTTTCATGGGGCAGGCTGGTAGTGTACCTTACATGGGGCAGGGGTGGGGAGTGTACCTTACATGGGGCAGGGCTGGTAGTGTACCTTACATGGGGCAGGGCTGGTAGTGTACCTTACATGGGGCAGGGCTGGTAGTGTACCTTACATGGGGCAGGGCTGGTAGTGTACCTTACATGGGGCAGGGCTGGTATGTACCTTACATGGGGGAGGGGTGGTAGTGTACCTTACATGGGGCAGGGCTGGTAGTGTACCTTACATGGGGCAGGGCTGGTAGTGTACCTTACATGGGGCAGGGCTTTGAAGTGCGTCAGGCAATATATGGTCCATGAGGGTTTACATGTTTATTATTTTTTTCATGCAGTAGAGTATAACAGTTTACACTGAAAGAAAGATAGCTGATAATGACATATTTCAATAGCCCCCCTCCCTACCACTGCCTCATGATATCTAGTAACTCCCCATTTATTGTTATTACAATTATTACAATAAGCGTGTATGCACCTGGAGAAGAGAGAAGTGTAGAGGAGAGAGAGAGATTTTGGGAAATGTTGAGTGAATGCGTGGGGAGTTTTGAATCAAGTGTGAGAGTAATGGTGGTTGGGGATTTCAATGCTAAAGTGGGTAAAAATGTTATGGAGGGAGTTGTAGGTAAATTTGGGGTGCCAGGGGTAAATGTAAATGGGGAGCCTTTAATTGAGCTATGTGTAGAAAGAGATTTGGTAATAAGTAATACATATTTTATGAAAAAGAGGATAAATAAATTACAAGGTATGGTGTAGCACGAATGAAAGTAGTTTATAGATTATGTATTGGTGGATAAAAGGTTGATGGGTAGGCTCCCGGATGTACATGTTTATAGAGGGGCAACTGATATACCGATCATTATTTAGTTGTACTACAGTTAGAGTAAGAGGTAAGGGAAAAGAGGAAGGTGGCAACACAGTAAGAGGGAGGTGAAAGTGTTAAAAACTAAGGGGGAGGAGGAAGTCGGGTGAGTTAGTGACTATTGGCAGAAAGGTGGGGTAGTGCAAAGATGAGTATGGGGGGGGTTTAGAGGGTTTGGGAAAAGTTTTTAAAAATGCAGTATTAGAATGTGGGGCAGAAGGTTTGTGGGTTATAGAGGGTGGGGCAGGAGGAAAGAGGAGTGATTGGTGGAATGATGAGTAAAGGGTGTGATAAAGAGAAAAAGGTGGCTTATGAAGGTTTTACAAGCAGAAGTGTTATAAGAAGAGCAGAGTATATGGAGAGTAAAAGAAAGGTAAAGAGGTGGTGAGTGAGTGCAAAAGGAGAGCAGATGATAGAGTGGGAGAGGGCCCGTCAAGAAATTTAATGAAATAAGGAAAAATTTGGAGTGAGTTAAACAAGTTAAGAAAGCCTTAAGGGAAAGTAGGATTTGTCAGTTAAAACAGAGTAGGGGAGTTATAGATGGGGAGGGAGGTAATTAGGTAGAGGCGAGATATTTTGAGGGAACTTTTAAATGTTAAGGAAGAACAGAGGCGTAATTTCATGCACTGGTCAGGGAGGGATACCATCTTTTAGGAGGAGAAGAGCAAATGCAAGTGTGGGGAGGTACATGAGGCATTACGTAAAATGAATGGGGTAAAGCAGCTGGATGATGGGACATGACAGAAATCGTTAAAAGCAGGGGGGGGATTTAGTGTTGGGTGGTTTGGGACTTTTGGGTTTTAATAAATGGTATAAAGAGGGAAGGTACCTTGGATTGGCAGAGAGCAGTCTAGTCCCTTTATATAAAAGGAAGGGACAAAAAGAGACTGTAAAAAAATTATAGGGAATAAGTTTACTGAGTATACCAGGAAAATGTACGGGAGGTTATAATTGAAAGAATTAGGCAAGACAGAATGTAGGATTGCGGATGAGCAAGGAGTTTTAGAGTGGGGAGGGATTGGTGTAGATCAAGTGTTTACATTGAATGCATATATGTGAACAGTATTAAAATAAAGGTAGGGAAGTTTCTATTGCATTTATGGATTTAGAAAAGGCATATGATAGAGTGGATAGAGGAGCAATGTGGCAGATGTTGCAAGTATATGGAATAGGTGGTAAGTTATTAAATGCTGTAAAGAGTTTTATGAGGATAGTGAGGCTCAGGTTAGGGTGTGTAGAAGAGAGGGAGACTACTTCCCAGTAAAAGTAGGTCTTAGACAGGGATGTGTAATGTCCACCATGGTTGTTTAGTATATTTATAGATGGGGTTGTAAAGGAAGTAAATGCTAGGGTGTTCGGAGAGGGGTGGGATTAAATTTTGGGGAATCAAATTCAAAATGGGAATTGCACAGTTACTTTTTGCTGATGATACTGTGCTTGTGGGAGATTTTTAAAGAAAAAATTGCAAAGGTTTGTGGGTGAGTTTGGAATGTTTTGTAAAGGTAGAAAGTTGAAAGTGAACATAGAAAAGAGTAAGGTGATGAGGGGATCAAATGATTTAGATAAAGAAAAATTGGATATCAAATTGGGGGGGGGGAGTAGGGGGAAAGAAGGAATTTTTTTCAATATTTGGGATTGATGTGTCGGCGGATGGATTTATAAGGTGAGGTTAAACATAAAATTGATAGGGGAAAAAAAGGGGTGGGCATTTAGGTATATGTGGAGTCAAAAAACGTTATCTATGGAGCAAAGAAGGGGAAAGTATGAAAATATAGTATACAAAAAGAATGCAGATGTAATAAAAACAGACTTTTCAAAAGCCTTTCCAAATGTGACCATGGGTAATAGCGCACAAAATGCGTGCTAAAGGAATAACAGGAAAAGTCGGTCGATGGTTATAATTTCCCCCACTAACAGAACACAGAGAGATCGTCAACAAAAAAAAGTCCGGGCAGCTAGTGAAAAGCTCGTTCCACAAGGGAGATTTGGTTTTTTAAATAAAAGGGGGGGGGGGGGGGGGGGGGGGGGGGGGGGGGGGGGGGGGGGAAAAAAATTTTTAGTGAAAACCCAGAGGGACTATACCAACTTGCACACAAAATCCCACACGAAAGCAAAAGATTTGGCAGACGATGCCCATCCCCCAATGAAAAGGGGTGTCACTAGCACGTTAAGAGACCATCAATAAGTGCAGGGGCCCGAGACTGTTCAACTGCCTCCCAGCACACATAAGGGGGATTACCAAGAGACCCCTGGCAGTCTTCAAGCTGGCACTGGACAAGCACCTAAAGTCAGTTCCTGATCAGCCGGGCTGTGGCTCGTACGTTGGTTTGCGTGCAGCCAGCAGCAACAGCCTGGTTGATCAGGCTCTGATCCACCAGGAGGCCTGGTCACAGACCGGGCCGCGGGGGCGTTGACCCCCGGAACTCTCTCCAGGTAAACTCCAGTACCAACACTCTTATATGGGTGTGAAGCTTGGGTGGTAAATGCAGCGGCGAGGAGACGGTTGGAAGCAGTGGAGTTGTCCTGTCTAAGGGCAATGTGTGGTGTAAATATTATGCAGAAAATTCGGAGTGTGGAAATTAGGAAAAGGTGTGGAGTTAATAAAAGTATTAGTCAGAGGGCAGAAGAGGGGTTGTTGAGGTGGTTTGGTCATTTAGAGAGAATGGATCAAAGTAGAATGACATGGAAAGCATATAAATCTATAGGGGAAGGAAGGCGGGGTAGGGGTCATCCTCGAAAGGGTTGGAGAGAGGGGGTAAAGGAGGTTTTGTGGGCAAGGGGCTTGGACTTCCAGAAAGCGTGCGTGAGCGTGTTAGATGGGAGTGAATGGAGACGAATGGTACTTGGGACCTGACGATCTGTTGGAGTGTGAGCAAGGTAATATTTAGTGAAGGGATTCAGGGAAACCGGTTACATGTATTTTCATAGTCGGACTTGAGTCCTGGAAATGGGTAGTACAATGCCTGCACTTTAAAGGAGGGGTTTGGGATATTGGCAGTTTGGAGGGATATGTTGTGTATCTTTATATGTGTATGCTTCTAAACTGTTGTATTCTGAGCACCTCTGCAAAAACAGTGATAATGTGCGAGTGTGGTGAAAGTGTTGAATGATGATGAAAGTATTTTCTTTTTGGGGATTTTCTTTCTTTTTTGGGTCACCCTGCCTCGGTGGGAGACGGCCGACTTGTTGAAAAAAAAAAAAAATTATTATCATTGTTGTTCTATACCCTGTGTTGGTATTGTTGTTAGCTTCAAACCTTGTATAATATAAATGTTGTGATATATGTTATGTTAGTGGTTTTGGGGGGTTAAGAACTACATTAAAAAGGAAATAGGTAAATAAAGGTATGTGCATATTGACTATAAGTGGAAGTTTGTAAGATTTACTCTATCTTACTGTATTTTACAGTAATCTTGAGAACAACTCTGCATCTTATCAAATCCCTCATTGTTAAATATTCATATATATTTTTCATATTTAATTTTTTTTACCACACCGGCCGTATCCCACCGAGGCAGGGTGACTTAATTTAGTAATTTATACAGGAGAGGGGTTACTAGCCCTTTGCTTCTAGCACATTAGTCACCTCTTACGACATGCATGGCTTATGGAGGAAGAATTCTTTTCTACTCACCCATGGGGATTTAAAATGTTATAGACAATAATTTGTTGAACCACAGTTAATTTATAAAACATTATTTAGGATCTGTGTGGGATATAATAGAGTACTACTGTTGTATGTACTGTAGTATGTACATACATCCCTCTAATTTAGTTAAAGGATAACACTACAGTTACTTGTTTGGAAAAATATGAACTGTATGTGAACAGATTTCTGTATCTTATGATTGTTTTCAAATGCTGTGGTATGTGTAGGATTTGGTTGTCTTATGTTGCATTCAATGAAACTGAAAGAAACTAACAATTCTCTCAATTGACAGGTGACATCAACATTACTGCTCTTTACAGCCAGTATATTTTACCCCATTGTGTATGGGCTCTATAATCGAAGCATAAGGAAGGAGATAGTGGCATATGTGTGTCCAATTAGCAGTCGAGATAGACGGCGTGGAAGCTGCCACCGTCGCACATCCACACTACACTCCAACACAGGTAAGTTACTGGAAGTAGTATAAACTTGTGGTAGAAAGAAAGTGGGGTAGGGGTCGTCTTAGGAAATGCTGGAGGGAGGGGTAAAGAACGTTTTGTGCGTGAGGGGCTTAGACATCCAGCAAGTGTGCATGAACATGTTAGATAGGAGTGAGTGGAGGCATATGGTTTTTATGTCTCCATTCACTCCCGTTTAACACACTCGCACACACGCCTGCTGGATGTCCAAGTTATGAACTTGCAAAATTTGCAGACTATGTAATCTTCAAATTATTTATATCCATTTTGTCATAGCAGTGTAATTGGTTAACAGGTATTCACTAACGGCCTCTCTCTCTCTTTCTCAACAGGAAGTGTCTTGGACTTCTCATCATTGCGCAGTCGTGAGAATGAGGAACAACAACAACAGGAAGCCCTGACGTGCCCCAACCCTGGCCTCTTAACAGTACCTATAAGAACAATATCTGGTACTCTTGCTAATTCGACCGTACCTTCTCTCTCACCTCTACTCATCCTGGCAGAATATGATGATTTATCCAAGCAAAATTATGTTATCAGTGTCAGGAAGCCATCACAAGACTCTGGTAAATTAGTTTCTTATAACTTATTGTGAAACCTTCGTGACTGTGTTATTGATTTTTTTAAAAATTTTTTTTTTTTTTGAAAGTTGCCATTTGAAAAGGTTGATAGTGCTATATAATGTGCTGTGAGAGATAAGATTTCAATCATATTTTTGACCCAGAGGGTAAGCTACCCAGGATAACACCCAATAAAGTCTGTGTACATCTTCAGGGACTGTCTTGTTTCCCTCTGGGTTCCTTTAGTTTCCTTCCCCAGAGTGTGACCCACAACAGTTAACTAACACCCCAGGTATTTACTTACCGCTAGTTAAACAGGAACAGCAGGTGTAAGAAAACATGTCCCCCACTTCATTTATGCCCGTGAATAATCTTGTCCTCAAGAAAATGATTCTGATAAAATAAGCTTTATTTTAATGGGTAAACTATAATTGTAAGTATGTTATGCATGTATTTAATAAATTAATTTTTTTATAAGGTTTATAGACATGGAATTCGGAATTAAGAAAGCGGGATAAAAAATAATCATATTGGTAGTTTTTATTTCATGTACAGGTAAACGCATATTGAATTTAAGTGAATAATTTCATAATTTATTTTTTCATCACATTATTGCTGAAATGTATTAATTAACCTTTTCTATCTATAAGACTATTTGGGTAATATTCTACTTATGAACTTGGCTATTACTTGGAAAGGTGCCACATATCTCCCCAAGGCTAATCCTATATTTTTCATGATAGTTCTATATAACTTTTTTGCCTCTGTTTATAGGTAATGTTTGGTATGTACTTGCTGAAGTTTACTTATAGTTAAACTTCATCCAATTATTTATCTACTTAGCTTAAGCCTTGTGACAATCTCTTAGTGTTCATATGTTATATTTATATGAACCTGTATGGGTCATCAGTAGTGCAGATATATGTAGGGGTAATAATCAGTTTGGTGCAAGAGACTTTTCAGGTTTAGTTTAGCAAAGGTTCAGACCTTGGCTTATTCTTCCAGATTGCTGCTTGTTTGAACTTTCTCCAGTATTGGCTAAGCAGGCGGGGCAACCAGGTACGTCAGGTGTTTCTTAACCTGCCTGGTGTACCCTGTTTTGGGTAAAGCCCCTAATGTTTTATGCTTAAAACTGCCAGCTCGTGTGTCCTCAGTTTATTTACTTTGAACCTACAGTTTGTTTACTTGTGTAATTTTTTGTGTTCATATTTCTTGTTGTCTATGAAACTGCATGTTCAGTTATCTTTATATATCAATAAATTTGTAACAAATGTCCAATTGTTACATCCTTGAGCAAGATGATGTTTATAGTGTAGCATGCCTAGCTGCTGCTGCCTCTTGTGATTTATTTTTGCCAAGAATTCATGACAGTATTTTATATGAAATATTCAAAGGACTAAGGTGGTGGTGTTGAGGTGGTTTGGACATTTTGAGAGGATGGAGGAAAAATAAGATGACTAGGAGGGTGTATAAATCTTGGATGGAGGGAAGGAGGGGTAAGGGTCATCCTAGGAATGGTGGGAGGGAGGGGGTAAAGGAGGTTTTGAGTGCTAGGGGCTTGGATGTTCAATAGGGTTGTGTGAGGGGTGTTAGATAAGAGTGGAGTCAGGGGCTTTTTGTGATCTGATATGCTATTTGTGTGAGCATGGTAACACTTATGAAGGGATTCAGGGAAACCAGTTACCTGGACTCGAGTCCTGGAGGTGGGAACTACAGTGCTTATATTCTGGAGGTCGGGATGTTACAGTTTGGAGGGTCATCTGAAGTGTGATGTTGGCACCCTTCTGGCAAGACTGATTGAATGAATGATAGTGAAAGTGTTTTCTTCTTTGTTAGGACACCCTACTTCAGTTGGAGATGGCCAATGTTAAAAACAGTTTTAACAAACTGGGGCCAGGACCTTATTGTTGTAGATATTTTCAGTTAAAATGGAAAAATCTGGAAATTAAGAAGAAAATTAAAATAAATTTTGGTAACTATTTTGTGGCTCTCCGAGTTGCCAGCTGTCAGTTCCTCTTAGTTCCACAGTCTCTAGCTTTTTATTAATATTGTGCTGTATGAGTACGTATTGTGGGTTCTCAGGAGTAATGCGGTGCCTTGTTCTATATATATATACATGTATATAATACACACACACACAATGTTAGTATATAAATCATCATATCTTGATGGAAATAATAATTTAGTCAGGTATCTGAAAGTGTTAAATTTAGTTTGGGTCAAGTAATATAAAATGTAACCTTGTAGTACAGTATTATTTTACTGGAAAAAACTTGGAGTAGGGGCCCCGTATCCGTGGGGAATACCTTCCAAGGACCAGCCATGGATACCCAAACCATGAACAGTAGCAGACACTATAAGTCCTATACATACCTGTTATAAAGTTAAATTGATAGATTATGCAAAATAAGTGGAGAATTATCACTTTTTTCACTGATGGGAAGCACTTCACGGCTTCTCTTAGGCTTTGAAGAACTGCCAGCTTCTCTGCTTTTGTGCTTTGGGCCACTATTATGCAAAATTAAAAGGTATTTTTGGGCCACAGTAAACTGTGGATAACTGAAACTGTGGATATCGAATCAGTGGATACAGGGGTTCTACTGTACACTGCCTTCATACTGTAGGTGGTAAACATACTGTGTGTGAAACCCCCCCCCCCTCACCAATGCCAGGATACCATATGTTCGGACCTTTATGTCACAGTCTACTGCTGCACTTTTATATCATGGGCTAACAATTTATTCAAGCCTGCCAGTCATAGCTCCAGTGCAATGTTTAGAACCTGACACTTCAAATGAAACAAAAAATCCCCAGAAAGCCATACTCTGCATCTTTGACCAATATTTCATTAGTATTACATGGATTTCAATTATATATAGTATAGTAGTATCTACACATCTTGTAGGAGTGAGGAAGAGCCAGTTGTGAGTGTGGGGGTAGTTCGTGAGGCAGTAGGTAAAATGAAAGGGGGTAAGGCAGCCGGGATTGATGGATAAAGATAGAAATGTTAAAAGCAGGTGGGATATAGTTTTGGAGTGGTTGGTGCAATTATTTAATAAATGTATGGAAGAGGGTAAGGTACCTAGGGATTGGCAGAGAGCATGCATAGTTCCTTTGTATAAAGGCAAAGGGGATAAAAGAGAGTGCAAAAATTACAGGGGATAAGTCTGCTGAGTATACCTGGTAAAGTGTATGGTAGTTATTATTGAAAGAATTAAGAGTAAGACGGAGAATAGGATAGCAGATGAACAAGGAGGCTTTAGGAAAGGTAGGGGTGTGTGGACCAGGTGTTTACAGTGAAACATATAAGTGAACAGTATTTAGATAAGGCTAAAGAGGTCTTTGTGGCATTTATGGATTTGGAAAAGGCATATGACAGGGTGGATAGGGGGGCAATGTGGCAGATGTTGCAAGTGTATGGTGTAGGAGGTAGGTTACTGAAAGCAGTGAAGAGTTTTTACGAGGATAGTGAGGCTCAAGTTAGAGTATGTAGGAAAGAGGGAAATTATTTCCCAGTAAAAGTAGGCCTTAGACAAGGATGTGTGATGTCACCGTGGTTGTTTAATATATTTATAGATGGGGTTGTAAGAGAAGTAAATGCGAGGGTCTTGACAAGAGGCGTGGAGTTAAAAGATAAAGAATCACACACAAAGTGGGAGTTGTCACAGCTGCTCTTTGCTGATGACACTGTGCTCTTGGGAGATTCTGAAGAGAAGTTGCAGAGATTGGTGGATGAATTTGGTAGGGTGTGCAAAAGAAGAAAATTAAAGGTGAATACAGGAAAGAGTAAGGTTATGAGGATAACAAAAAGATTAGGTGATGAAAGATTGAATATCAGATTGGAGGGAGAGAGTATGGAGGAGGTGAATGTATTCAGATATTTGGGAGTGGACGTGTCAGCGGATGGGTCTATGAAAGATGAGGTGAATCATAGAATTGATGAGGGAAAAAGAGTGAGTGGTGCACTTAGGAGTCTGTGGAGACAAAGAACTTTGTCCTTGGAGGCAAAGAGGGGAATGTATGAGAGTATAGTTTTACCAACGCTCTTATATGGGTGTGAAGCATGGGTGATGAATGTTGCAGCGAGGAGAAGGCTGGAGGCAGTGGAGATGTCATGTCTGAGGGCAATGTGTGGTGTGAATATAATGCAGAGAATTCGTAGTTTGGAAGTTAGGAGGAGGTGCGGGATTACCAAAACTGTTGTCCAGAGGGCTGAGGAAGGGTTGTTGAGGTGGTTCGGACATGTAGAGAGAATGGAGCGAAACAGAATGACTTCAAGAGTGTATCAGTCTGTAGTGGAAGGAAGGCGGGGTAGGGGTCGGCCTAGGAAAGGTTGGAGAGAGGGGGTAAAGGAGGTTTTGTGTGCGAGGGGCTTGGACTTCCAGCAGGTATGCATGAGCGTGTTTGATAGGAGTGAATGGAGACAAATGGTTTTTAATACTTGACGTGCTGTTGGAGTGTGAGCAAAGTAACATTTATGAAGGGGTTTTCAGGGAAACCGGCAGGCCGGACTTGAGTCCTGGAGATGGGAAGTACAGTGCCTGCACTCTGAAGGAGGGGTGTTAATGTTGCAGTTTAAAAACTGTAGTGTAAAGCACCCTTCTGGCAAGACAGTGATGGAGTGAATGATGGTTTAAGTTTTTCTTTTTCGGGCCACCCTGCCTTGGTGGCAATCGGCCAGTGTGATAATAATAATAATAATAGTATCTACACCACTTTACTGTATGATGTACAGTGCTTTGTGCTTTGGGCTTGCAGCTAATATAAGCAGTTTACAGCGAAGTTCTGGCAGGTAGTGTTTGTTCGAGTACCGAGGTTCTACTGTATTTCAAAGTGAATTGGCTGTGTGTGTAGTGGGTTGAAGTAACATGGAAATATGAGAAAATGTTGCAGTGTCTGTATTGTATAGAAATTATTTCTTCTATATTTATTCTTTTTTTGTGTTTGAAGCATGGTTATTTTGAGAATGTTTTGTATAGCACTCCACTATACTAATTAAATCTAGTGCATGATGTGCAACTGTTGCCTTGGTAATGTTGATGTGCATATTGCTCAATCAGTCTGATAAGCATTGTTAAATTGGGCCAGTAAGTAGATGGGTGATCAAATACACAGCTTCACCCTTAGAGAAACATTGGGATATTTGCCCTATACCTGTAAAACAAATTAACCCTAGAGTGCTGTTACTCATAAATATTATGATGCCGCTTTATATCAGGTTTAATTCCATCAAGTGTATGGAGATATTCTTTCGGGCCAACTCAATAGTGATTCTTCATGGTCTGGTGGAGCGCCAGGCTTCTCATATCTCAGATTTATAAGCAGTACTGAAAAATTTAACTTCTGAAGATACAGTATTTCTACCTAACACTTAAGTACTTCTAATAGGTCTGAAATTTCCTAAACATTGGCATTTGTCCAGTATGTGTCTTCCCGAGGGACTGGAGAGACTAAGCACATTTGCAAAGAATTTATTCTAAGTTTTTAGAGTGGTAGCAATTTAGGGTAAACCTAGAGCAGTGTTGCTAACCTGAGAGGTGCTACTTCTTAACGGAGGCTTTTAAAATTTAGGGTTAGTATGAGAAGGTATCTAGAAAACAAAGTTGAAACGTTATTACAAATTCAAGTGATAAGACAAATTTCCAACACAGGTTAATGAAAAAAATTTAATGATAATTTTTATTTTTTTTTTATTTTCCAGTTGTATTTACAGCATTGAATCCTGATACATGTGCATACACGTGTGCACGCACTCACATGAACACACACACACACACACACACACACACACACACACACACACACACACACACACACACACACACAGACATACACACGAACATGAACACACAGCACCCAGAAAAACACAGGTTTATAAACAACAACCAACATGGTTTCAAGGAAGGAAAATCCTGTGTCACAAACCTACTGGAGTTTTATGACAAGGTAACAGAAGTAAGACACGAGAGAGAGGGGTGGATAGACTGCATTTTCTTGGATTCTCAAGAAGGCCTTCGACACAGTTCTTCACAGGAGGTTAATGCAAAAGCTAGAGGATCAGGCACGCATAACAGGAAAGGCACTGCAGTGGATCAGAGAATATCTGACAGGGAGGCAACAGTGAGTTATGGTACATGACAATGTGTCAGAGTGGGCACCTGTGACGAGTAGGGTTCCACAGGGGTCAGTCCTAGGACCTGTGCTATTTTTGGTATATGTGAATGACAGCCGGGTCACCATATGGAGAAGACCCGGGCCGGAAGTACCGGCAAACCTCTAATGAATGAATGAATGTGAATGACATAACAGAAGGAATAGACTCAGAAGTGTCCCTGTTTGCAGATGATGTGAAGTTAAAGAGAAGAATTAAATCGGTCGAGGATCAGGCAGGACTACAAAGAGACCTGGACAAGCTACAAGCCCGGTCCAGCAACTGGCTCCTTGAATTTAACCCCACCAAATGCAAAGTCATGAAGATAAGGGAAGGGCAAAGACTGCAGACAGAGTATAGTTTAGGTGGCCAAAGACTGCAAACCTCACTCATAAAGATCTTGGAGCGAGTATAATACCGAGCACATCTCCTGAGGTGCACATCAATCGGATAACTGCTGCAGTATATGGGCGTCTGGCAAACCTGAGAATAGCATTCTGATATCTCAGTAAGGAATCGTTCAAAAGACTATACACCATATACGTCAGGCCCATATTGGAGTATGCAGCACCCACTTGGAATCCACATCTGGTCAAGCACATCAAGAAATTAGAGAGAGTGCGAAGGTTTGCAACACGATTAGTCCCAGAGCGAAGGGAATTGTCCTACGAAGAAAGGTTAAGGGAAATCGGCCTGACGACACTGGAAGACAGGAGGGTCAGGGGAGACACGATAATGACATATAAAATACTGCAAGGAATTGACAAGGTGGATAAAGACAGGATGTTCCAGAGATGGGACACAAAAACAAGGGGTCACAATTGAAAGTTGAAGACTCCTGTGAGTCAGAGGGATGTTAGGAAGTATTTCTTCAATCATAGAGTTGTCAAGAAGTGGAATAGCCTAGAAAGTGACATAGTGGAGGCAGGAACCATACATAGTTTTAAGACGAGGTTTGATAAGCTCATGGAGCAGGCAGAGAGAGGACCTAGTAGCAGTCAGTGAAGAGCCAGGTCCAGGAGCTATGACTTGACCCCTGCAACCACAAATAGGTGAGTACAGATAGGCGAGTATATATGTACACACACACAAACAGCTGTGTCTCGACCCCTGCAACCACAAATAAGTGAGCACACAGAATACATGTTTTTGTCAGTTGCACAAAGTTTTCCTAAAGGTAAGAAGAAATTCTGTGTTGGTTTAACATTTTTATATTAACCATTTTTGCATAGATGTTGGAAAATTAGTAATACAATACTTCCCTAAAGATTTTCGCATACTGGTACATTTTAACATAGTATTACAAAAGTTGAAGACATTAAAGAAATTAGTAGTGTATATGAGTGAAGAGGCATGAAAGAGAAAGAGTCATTGAAAATGTAATTAAAATAAGTATTTAAAAAATTAGCTCAAGACAACTAAAGTGTGATTTCAATATACGTAAACATGCGTACAATTACGAGTCAGGATTTTTTTTTTTTTTAAATTATATTCTGTGTTTGATCTCTAATGTACATTTGAGGAATGCCAGTTGATTATAATTTTTAATTCTCAGGAGCAGTGATGGGCAGTAGTGATGACCCTGATTCTGACATGGAAACTCCTGCATGTCTCCCACAACATATTCATTCCACACGTCGGGTGTCAGCTCCAAGCATTCTTGATACTGTGTGTGAGAATCCACATACCATTAAAGTGCCACTTGATGCCATCAACAACATGTCTTCAGCAACACACAAAAGAAAGTCGCCAATAATTCCTTTTGCTTCTCAAATGCTTAATGCTGGTGCCAAAATCAGTTCATTAAGACGGTCACATAGTCTGGAGATGATGACTTCCTGTGATAACATTGTTGAAAAAGAGACAACACTGAAAAATAAAATAACTTATAGCAGTTTGCATAAAAAACATTCCCTTTCTCCAGTAGTAAGAGAAACACATTTCAACACACCATCTGCCTGTGAACGAATTCAGAGACGGAAAAGCTCTGTATCGGTGGTGAAAGTAGTGGCAATTCCAGAGGACATTGGCACCCTGGAGTGTGCAGACTCTGGGAGTAGTGTGGACAGTGGTGGTGATGGTGTTAAAACATGTGCCAACAGGCAGGTAAGTATTGATGAAGGGATAGGAGTAGACTGTCTTATAGAAGAGGAAAGCATTTGAAAGAATGCATCAAATCTCCACAAACCTTAAAAAGGTTTAGAGAATAGGTGGAACATGCATGCAATTGGTTTTAAAAGTTCTGCTCCCAAAACCCAAGACCAAACTTCATTGTTAACTGGCTGGTCAAGCTGGCTGTTGGCACTAATGGCTTGCATACTCTGGATTGCTCTTGCAGCTGGTCCCCTCAGGGAAGGTGCCTTGATGGTGGTAAGGAACTTTTGATCCAAGGAAGTGGACCTATCTGGCCCCTCCTTGGATCAAATGTGATTGCCTCTCATTCCTTATGTACTGTATAACCCTTATGAGTTTAGTGCTTTCCCAGATTATAATAATCTTAGTGTGTGTGGTGTAGGTACAGTACATCTTTTTTAGTTATTCACTATGTACCTCTACCATTATTATAAGCACAAAGAAGTGCTAAACCCTATAGGGTCCTACAACACTGCAACCTGTACCATAAACCAGCTAGTTCTTCCAAAGTTTTCCATGGCCTTAGCTCTCAGTATTGCTAATATTAGGGCTAGTAAGTATGTTTAAACCCTTATACTTCATCCTCATTCCTTAGTTTAGTAACTGTGGTTGAGCTTCCTGCTCCCAGCTGACTTTTCTATAATAATAAAATGTTCCCAGCTGAAAAGACCTGGATTTTTTCTGGGAGAGGCAAGATATATGGGCAAGTCTCTCTTCACCTGCTGTCCTTGTTCACCTAGCAGGAAATGGGTACCTGGGTGTTGGCTGTTGTGGGTCACATCCCAAGGAAACAAATTAGTACCCCAATATTATTAAGTGCTAAACTCATAATGGTTATACTGTACAGTGAAGCTAGTACTCCAGTAAAAATAATACGTTGACTTTCTCGAGTTACTCTAGATTAACCCTTTTGAGGGTAATCCACTTAGTTGTTTTCATCATTTATCCTTGGCATTTTGCAGGTCATTGTTAGGAGACTGTACTTTATATTTCTATATTCAGCATTTATACCCTTCTGTGAATACTACCCATACTATTATTATTAATTTTGTATTGTAATATCCACACAGTAGTCTATGTTAATAGGGGAATTTACATTTCCTCAATGTCTTAAGTTTTATTTATTTCTGCACTTGTGTAAAACAAATTACACTACCTCATCTATACCATGTTCCTGAAGTTTTATCAATACATTGTGTAAAAGGTCATTTGAATTGTGATGTCTTCTGTGAATTGTGATCTATTTCTTTGGGTTTGCCTTGCCTTTGGTGGGGAATAGTGTTAAAAAAAAATTGTGGTCTTTGGTCTCACTATATGAGACCAAAGATCACAATTTTTTTTTTTAACACTATTCCCCACCAATCAAGAATACTGTAAGCCTTACTATTAGTAAGGCTTACATTATTCTTGATTGATTTGTAGGTGATACAAAGCCTTAGTATAGTTGACAGGCTTTAAATGCAACAAGTAAACCAGTTAGGAAATGTCAGGTCACTGAAGAATACAGTCATTGAGCTTAGTGGTGAGAACCTGGTAGTACATGATGCCAACAAATTATAGTTGAGGAGACGAGCAATAACTTAGGACATTTTACTATGCATAAATTTCAGTACTAAGACCTTGTTCACTCCAAACATACATGTTGACTGAGAAACAAAGGTTTATATAGGACAAGGTAGCTCAGCTTTTTAAGTTAGGCGAGCTGAAAAACTCAGTAGCTTTAAAATCAAACAAATGCAAGCAAGTGATTTGGGATTTCAAAAGATCCTCCACAGCATGGGCCAGTAAGCCTACAGCCATGCTCCTCCATTCTTAATGTTCATCTCATGGCTGTGCCCCCAAGTGGGTGAGGTGATTCATGTTCTACAAGCATGTTAGGTTTCTAGAACATGTCACCATTCACCTCAGGACATGGCCATCAGATTAACATAAGAATGGAGGAGCAATGCAGTACAGTAATGAACAGGCAGACACTGCTGTGCGGTCAGCAGTACATGACCTACCAATTTCCTATAGAGGTGTTCCATTTCTGGACAATTTTGCTACATTAGCTACCCACCTTCACGCCCATTGGCAACAACGTTGGTCAACTCTGCTTGGTAACAAACTTCATTCTATTAAACTGAGCATAGGTTACTGGCCGTCTTCGCATTGGCCACACTCATCTTACTCACGGGTATCACGTGGAGAGGCACCCTGTACCTCTCTGTGAGCAGTGTCAAATTCCTGTGTCGATTAGCCACATTCTGTTAAACTGCCCTCTATCAACGAGCACGCAGAATTTGCCTCCAACGCCGTCTTCGTTCTACTACTCTCTCTTTACCTTCCCTTCTTGCTGATGGACCCTCCTTTAATCCTGACTCTCTCATTGACTTCGTGACAACGACTGATTTACTCCACAAACTCTGATGATGATGTGATGCCCATTGCCTTTGCTACTATGTACGCTCTCACGATCTCCACAATCCTTCCATTTATAGAATGGTCACCGATATTAGTAGACATTCTTTATTCGTTCGCCGCCCCTGTTTGCTCCGTCCCTTTTCTCTTCGCCTACATTCACTCTTGTCTTCCCTTCAGTTACCACCTTTATATGTTGATGTAGCATCTCACTTTTCCCTACCCCCCTGGGAAGTTCCAGCTGTTCGGGTCTGTTCTTTCTCACTCCCGTGCTCGAAAGCTCAACTGCCTACGGTGGCTTCCCGCTCTCTTTTTCTTGATCACTTCCACTCCCATTCTCATGCCATCGCTGTGTACACAGATGGCTCTAAGTCTTCAGACGGCGTCGGATTCGCAGCAGTGTTTCCGGACAGCGTCGTGCGGGGGCATTTACTATCTTCGGCTAGCATTTTTACTGCTGAATTGTATGCCGTTCTTGCAGCACTTACTCGTATCGCATCTATGCCTGTGTCATCATTTGTGGTAGTCTCAGACTCCCTTAGTGCTCTACAGGTTATACGAAAATTTGATACATCTCGCCCCCTAGTTCTTCGTATCCAACTTTGGCTACGCCGTATCTCTACGAAGCATAAAGATACTATTTTTTGTTGGGTCCCTGGTCATGTTGACATACAGGGCAATGAACAGGCAGACACTGCTGCGCGGTCAGCAGTACATGACTTACCAATTTCCTATAGAGGTGTTCCATTTCTGGACTATTTTGCTACAATAGCTGCCCACCTTCGCACCCGTTGGTCAACTCTGCTTGGTAACAAACTTCATTCTATTAAACCGAGCATAGGTTACTGGCCGTCTTCTTGTTATCAGTGCCGTGGTTGGGAGACCACTCTCTCCCGTCTTCGCATTGGCCACACTCTTCTTACTCACGGGTATCTCATGGAGAGGCACCCTGTACCTCTCTGTGAGCAGTGTCAAGTTCCAGTATCGATTAGCCACATTCTGTTAGATTGCCCTCTCTATCAACGAGCACGCAGAATTTACCTCCGACGCCGTCTTCGTTCTACTACTCTCTCTTTACCTTCCCTTCTTGCTGATGGACCCTCCTTTAATCCTGACTCTCTCATTGACTTCTTGACAACGACTGATTTACTCCACAAACTCTGATGATGATACCTTACGCACTCCCCTCAGCCCTTTCTAGCTCAGTCTCTTGTTGCCCTTTACCCTTTCACCATCCACTGCTCCGCTGTTATCCATAACCTATTACTCATCCACCTCCCTTTTGCCACCTGATGCCCTCGCTTCCTTCCTGCCCTGCAGCGCTGTATAGCCCTTGTGGCTTAGCGCTTCTTTTTGATTATAATAATAATAATGATGCCCCATGTATGTATGGAGTGAACAGTTTTAGGACCAAAATGTATGCATGATAACATTGTAAGTTTATGCTCATATTCTTAACCACCCAGAGTTCAACATTGTTTGGACTAAATTACTTTCAAAAGTAGAACAGAGTACAGCCTTTTTAAGAATTCATCAGTATAAACTCTGAGCAATGCTGTCTTCAGTGCCTTGATGCTAGTGAGGGACCTTTCATTCAATAAATTCTCCCCCATTTCCAAGGTGTTTTGTGACCCTCATGGGTTTATCTCTTTTTCCATAATTACAATGTCCAATAGTACTCAAGCATAGCACATGGTAATAAAAAAAAGTAGGGGGGGGGGGCAAAGAAAATTGACTGGTATACATTCCCTCATGAGTAAGTTTTATCAGATGCATACCATGAGAAAAATTGCAGCCTACAGATTATCTGGAGCAGGTAGTCATGTGGAATATGCTAAGTAGTACACTACAAGAGGCCTGCTGGGTTTCAGTTCCATGACTGTGCTATAGAGCTGCCAAAGTGAACATGCCACAATTTTGTGGCATGTTCACTTTAAACACAAATTTACTCTTCTCATTTTCTTGAAATAGTAACCTGGCTATGTCCCATTCCATAATGTGGGTATCAGTGTTTTACACAAGGTTTGGCTATGTATATTCAACAGGTGTATTTGTGCTCCTGTAGATGTATGGGAAAACTTTTAGCAGTTCTCCAATATAAACTGTCACATTTACCACAGGGAATGCTATAGACTCCTGCTTCCTTGGGTTTTGTATAGTGTGTGGAGGTTTTTTATGGTGCCTCAGTTTTGGTGGTAGCCACAGCAACACTGACATTGAATTTATATAGTATAGGGGTTGCTATGGTGCCAGTAGGCAATATACATCTTTGGCTCCTGGCAGTGATATGTATTTTTTATGTTTGCGGTGAAAGGTTATTTGAGGTTGGTTTCCCTATGTATTCTTTGTCACTCAGATTCTAAACACTGGCAGGAAAAAGCCAGTTAACACTCCTTTCTTGGTTTTCTATGTCTTGGTGGGAGTAAAGTAAATTAAGTTCTCTTTAGTAGGTCTGCAGCATACAGCTTCCTTTAGTAAATCCCCTTCCTAGTAAGTCATACAAGGAAGTAATTAATAGCATACTACCATTCTTGGACATACGACTCACCAGGTAAAGGGAGTTTAAGAGTGTACAGTATTCAGCAATCCTACTAATAGAGGCCACCTCATTCACTTCTGTTCTTACCACATTATTATTATTATAATCAAAAAAGTGCCAAGCCACAAGGGCTATACAGCTGTTCCTACCACAACTTGAAAACCAAAAAAGGTATAAATTTGGCTTTTTCTTGTGGGTGCTTGGAATCTGCAATAACAACTTGAGGATTAGCAAGACTACATACAAAACACCTCCAGCCTCAAATTCCCTCACACCATAATTTATAGCAATAAAGCAAACATTGGGCACATCAATGTCAGGAACTGGAACACAATTACCTACTGGAACCATAGCCAACACAATGGTCATACTGCTATGCAACTCCAACATTACTGCTATGGTTACCACCAAAATCATCCTAGACATCATGTGTACCTCTACACAAGACCCAAGGACACAGCATTCTACAGTATTCCCTCTTGATAGGTATGTCTAAGTTTAAAATTGAAGAAACCGCCAGAAATCTATCACACCTACAGAAATCACGAGTGCACCTGTAAAATGACCACCACCACCCAGTCCCACAATGTGGGACAGGGTGGTGGTGGTCATGTAATGTACACATTACAGGTGGTAATGTACACATTACTACCTGCCCTGCATGCCCTAAGCAAGATATAATTTTGATAAATTACATGGCCTTGAGTGGAACATTGTACTAATAAAGACTTCACTGCATTAAGTATCTTTTTACCAATATTTTTGAGATTAATTCATGTTACCCTGTACTTCATAATACATGAAGATATATCCACATTATGTTCATGGGGAAGCATAATACACAGGTCATACAGTGCCTTGGGAATGGGAGACAATCTAGTATAATTCAAGGAAAAGGGCAACTCTAATTCTGTAGATCAAAAGGCCTTCATAGTATCATGGATCTAGGTGTAGAAACTGAAAACATTAATTTTGGTTTTCTCCAGGTTGTAGCTAATTAGCTTATATTGATTTGATATCGAAGTTCAGTAATTACAAGTAAGACCTTTGCTACCAAATGTGATTGACAATCATCTAAGATGTGAAATGCTTTAATGATAATGTTGAAATATGTGTAGTAATAAGTATCAATGTAAAATAACATATTTTATTATTTTTTTGTATATACTGTAATTAAGATTTGAATATGTATCCTTTACCCATCTCGTGTTCATCATAGCATTCCAGTGTGTCGGGTGTGTAACAAGTTCAGTGAAGAAGATGGTGCAATATATTACTTGCATTATATCCAGGACATAGGTGGGCTAATACACAGGTACCTTCAGACAAAAATACATAACCTAAACACCTGCATCTTTTATGGCTAACCACAATGTATCTATCAGGGCTGTAGAGTTGGTACAGATTGAACATTAAAATGGTATAAAATACCGACAGGTTGTTAGGTAAGACACATATGCAACAGTTAGGTATCTTTATTATGAAACTTTCGCCACAAGTAGCTTCTTCAGTAGTACAGATAAAGTGATAGAAGCTAAGATACTGAAGACATTATCAGTCATCACCCTTAAGTTTTTGAGGTGTCAGTCCCTCATACTGGAGAAGAGCATTGTTCAATAGTATTAATAGTCCATCACCCTAAGTTATTGAGTGGTCAGTCCTCAGTCTGGAGTAGAGCATTGTATCAATTAGTTGAAGAAAATTGTTTCATATATTAACAATGCTCTATTCCAGACGAGGACTACCACCCAAACTTAAGGTGATGGACTGATACATCGTCTTCAAGTATCTCTGCTCTAACAACTTTTCTGTATCGACTGAAGAACCTACTTGTAGGCAAACGTTTCATATAAAGTACCTATCGGTTGCATATGTTCTACTAACAACAGAGTTGGTACATAAAACCTTTGACTCCAACTCCTTTATTTATGGCACTTTCGACTATGTATAAATATGCTAATTTTACATTTGCTATATAGATTGCAAGCATGCAATATACAAGCTCAGTAACCTGTTAAAGCTTGGCTCTAAATGCTATAACTATGCCATTCTGCTTTATTTTATTTATAAAAGAAATTACAAACATAATTAAAGGAAAAAACTTGACAAATGGAAACAATGAGGTTATAATTTTATAAAAAGACTATCAAGTATAAAGTACAGTAGGGCCCCACTTTGCTAATACGGACATTTCAAATTATTGACCAAAATTCGTTTGGGTGCTCGGTGGCTAATGCTCTTGCTTCACACATGGAGGGCTCGGGTTTGATTCCTGGGCTCTCTCTGATGTCATGTTCACCTAGCAGCAAATGGGTACCTGGATGTTAGTCGACTGGTGTGGGTCTCATCCTGGGTGACAAGACTGAGGACCCCAATAGAAATAAGACAGTCCTTGATGATGCACCGACTTTCTTGGGTTATCCTGGGTGGCTAACCCTCCGGGGTTAAAAATTTGAAGAAAATCTTATCTTATATGGCTCCCTGATTCGTTATTATGGCGTCCATGCACCACTCTTTGTTTGTTTGTATCATCCATTAGCTCCACGTCTCATGAATATGCCTGGAAACTTTCCAAAATTTCAAGTGCTTTATAGTTATTGCATATATTATGTATACTCTGATAATTGCACTTGTGTACCTGTACCTAAATAAACTTATTATGCTGGTGTGCACAATAAGTTTATTTAGGTACAGTAAGAGTATCTCAGTGTTGAAGATGCAATAAGCAAGCTACCACACCTGAATTCTACAATACTCACCTCTCACCCTACATTAGGACTACAAATATTTTAGGGTAAGTAATGAGTGTACTGTAAATGCATTTTATTGCTCTGAGGTGCTTTAAATGTCTTTGTATATTACATGTAGATGTGGTAACTGGGTGGGCTACCACACCTGACTTACTACTCACTTCTCACCCTACATTAAGACTACAAAGATTTTAAGCTATGTAATGAGTGTACTGTGTGTGTGTGTGTTGTTGTTGATATTATTACTTTTTTGATTGTTTTTAATGCCTGTTTGACGATATGTATGTAATTGTTATGAAGATTTATATGACTTTTTTAAAGTTGATTTTAAAGCCTGATTCACTTTAATGCGTACATGGAACCTAACCGGCCGATCACAAGGGGGCCTCCTGTAGTAGAAAAAGAAATAAACTACATATATATATGTCTTGCCAGAAGTCTTTCCTACTAGTTAAAGAATCCTAGAATACATCCTTTGCTATTAACTAAAAAAGAATTCAAATTAAACTACATGAAAATGTAAAAAGCAATTAAAACACCTAAAAAAATATGAATAAAATTATCTCTATATTTAAAGTAAATGAATCTCAATGAGCGTACATAACCCTCCTTTTCCAGATTAAAGTATTATTTACTTTATATTCTATACAATTTAAATTTATTAGGAGTTGGAGATGATACATTTGTACAGACTCCAGTAACCCAAGAATTGCTTCCAACTCCGACTCCACAGCCCTGGTATCTATCCTACCCTTTACTCCCCTTTAGACTAAACAGTACAACTGCTTGAAGGGCAACATAAGGCGAGTTCTTAGCTCATTTGACTTTGTTCGATGTCAGTTATTTAAAGTTTGAGTGGGAAATCCGGCATTCCTAAACAATGAACATGACTGTGGACAAGCTAAGTGTGTCTGGGGGCAATGTACAGTAGGGCCCCACTTATACGGCAGGTTAGGTTCCAGGCTACCGCCGTAAAGCGGAAATCACCATAAAGTGGAACACCCTTTTTTTCTACTTAAAAATGCATACAAATACTAGATAAGTTTACACTAACATATACAGTGGACCGATAGAATTTACTGCATCAAAAAAAATATGTTCAGTGCCACGTGACATTTATTCCATTATTAAAAATTAGTCCTTTCAACCCTAAAATCAGTACAAGATTTATGTAAAAAACAATATGTGGTCCATTGAGGTGATCGAGCGGGCTCCATATACAGTTGCAATAGACACTAGGCATCAATAATAACATCAAGAAAAATGCAATACACACACGTGCACTCATTACTTACCTTAAAATATTTTAGTCTTAATTAGGGTGAGATGAGTAGTATTTATGGTAAAAAATCAAGTGGGTATGTATGTAGTCACCGGGCTACCAACCAGGCCACCCACCACATCTAGTCTATGTATTAACATCCCAGCTAGCGATAATAATGCAAACGTAAACAGTTCACTCATTACTTTGTAAATAATTTGTACAGTCTCTAATGTAGGGTAGAGTAAAGTAAGTGAGATAAAACAATAAATGATGTGAGAAGAATGAGTGCATAGAGGAAGGGCAGAGTTATGTAAAAAGTCAGCTGACGGTATGTTTTGCAAACTAAACAAGTGTACACATCTGGTTTGTGTACAAGTTACATTGTGACAGGTTGTCTCTACTTGATATACGTTAATAAATAAAGAAAACAACTCCCATTCTCATTTCTCATTTTGATAGAAGAAATGTTACTCTGAGTGAAGGCATTGAAAATGATAGTCACATCTGCACTGTTTTGTTATCCTAGTTTCTTAACATTATGCTGTTATGTATGATAATATATGTATGTATTTGGTATTCCTGAAAAAATTTGATCATAATAGAACGGAAAATTTTATTACAGTACCCGTAACATTATCTCTTAATGTAGATTAGAGATAAATTTTATTCATTGGTGTCACTTGTCAATGATCTGGCTACCACATCTCATATTTATGTTTATTTATTCTATGTGGGGTGTATTTATCATCTTTATATGTTATGTATCATGTTTTATTATATAATTTTGAAAAAAATATTATGGATGGATTAATGAAAATGTGTATATTAACGTAATATACGACATTTAATGAAAACTCGGTGATTATTATTAAATTATTATTTCTAATATGGCGTCACTTGTGCAAGCGTCTGCTACCACATCTCATATTGCTTATTTATTCTACTGTGGGGTGTATTTATCATATTTATATGTTATGCAAGTGTTTATTATATAATTTTGAAAAAATATCAAAGATGGATTAATGAAATGTGATTTTAAAACGTATATACGACATTTTAAATGAGACTCGGTGATTATTTTAAATTAAAAATTACTATATGACGTCCTGGAGACATAAGACACTTACTGATTTTAATGTGTACCTGCACGCCAGCCCAGTATGTAAGTTTATTTCGGTACAGGTATACATATGTATAATTATCAGAGTAGTATATATAAAATATGAAATAACTTTTAAAAACACTTGAAATTTTGGAGTTTCCAGACATAATGGAGAGACTTAGTGCTTGGATCTCACAGAGAATGTAAGCAAACAGGGTGGGGCGCGGGGACCATATTAGAAAGTCAGGTGGGGGGGAGCCGTATAGCGAGTTTTGGTCATAATTTGAAATGACCGTATTAGCGGAACGTCGTAAAGCGAAACGTCGTAAAGCGAAACGCCATAAAGCGGGGCCCTACTGTACATCTAGATCAATCAGGTACTTGAATTTGATGTATCATTTCACTTATGGATACAGTAACAAGCTGGTAAATAAACTAAAGCTACCCTTCCTTTCTTTGGATCAAACCTCATTACTTCCCATCCCCCCCAAGTGCTGTATAACCCATGTGGGTTTAGCACTTCCCCATCAATATAATGAAAATTCACCTATCACTAAAGTGTCACCTGCCCTATAATACTGAATGACTCATGGCTTTAGTGCTTTTCATGAATATAATAGTCAAGGCACATTATTAAACAAAATGATAGTGTCCTTTATAAAATAATATGCCAAAATACAACTCTGTAGTACTAACACTTACCCTTTATTAAATGAGGTATCGTGATGCTGGTGAAGGTCTCTTGATCCAAGGAATTAGACCTGTCTTCTTGAATCAACACTGGTTGCCACCCATCCCCCAGGTGCAATATGACTCCTAAGGTTCAGCATTTTTCCATAATAAAATTTTTCAGAACCTAAGGAACCCAGGTTCATTTCCCTGGCTGCTATGAGTGTGCCAGGTGACCTACACAGCTTGAGTGCTTTATGTCAATGAAACGTACAAAAAATGAGCAGAATTAGATACTACTATAACTGTTTCACCGCCAACTGATAAAAGACTTGAATGCAAATTTTGTCAACGAAACTATTTTCACACCATGCATCACTGTGTCACACTCGAAGCAAAAAAAAAAAAAAGCAACTCTCAAGTGCTCAAGAATTTTCTAATTTCATTCACAAAGGAATTACCAAAAATTCTTGAAAAATACCTGAACTTTTACTGTAAATAACTCAACCATTGCAACCTGCTTAATAAACAAAAGTACCTCTGCAATTCATTTAGACCAATATCTGTAATGTTTGTGACTGAATCTGTGTATAACTAACCCCTACTATTATAACATTATTATAATAATAAACAAGCATTAAATTTGTATTGTCATTTTTTTTTTTTTAACACTTCTATCTTCTACTGAGGTAGGGTGACCCAAAAAGAGAAACACTTCCACCATCATTCACATATCACTGTCTCTGCAGAGGTGCCCAGATACAACAATTTAAATGTCAGTCCAAACAGCCAAGACCCCAAACCCCTCTTTGAAAGTGCAGGCATTGTACTTCTCACCTCCAGGACTCGAGTCCGGCTAAACAGTTTTCCTGAATCTCTTCACAAAATATTACCCTGCAACTTTTCCTAAGATGACCCCTACCCCTCCTCCCCTCCACTACATATTTATACACCCTCCAAGTCCTCCTATTTTGCTTCCTCTCTAAATGCCCAAACCACCTCAACAACCCCTCTTCAGCCCTCTGAATAATACTTTTAGTAATTCCACACCTCCTCCTAATTTCCACACTATGAATTCTCTGCATAATATTTACACCACACATTGCCTTTAGACACATCTCCACTGCCTCCAGCCCCCTTCCTGCTGCAGCATTCACAACCCAAGCTTCACACCCATATAAGAGTGCTGGTACCACTATACTCTCATACATTCCCTTCTTTGCCTCCATGGATAACGTTTTTTTTTGTCTCCACAGATACCTCAATGCACCACTCACCTTTTTTTCCTTCATCAATTCTAATTAAATATACAAAAGTATCACATAAACAGTAGTATGCATTACATATTTAAGAGACGGCTATATGTACAAGTCGTCATCAGGATCATCGTCATCCCAGTCATCAACGTCATCTGGTGTGTAGTGAATGTGTCCTCCATGTGACTGAACCCTGAAATATAAGCACTTTGTAATTATAAGGAAACTAGAAAATCTCATTTTTAAAGAATTAGAGTTGGATGTGGTAGAAATAAACCCACTTGGAGAAAATTAAGCAGAAAGTAACGTAAATACGTATACTGTATACTTCTGCCTTAGTATGATGTTCAAATATAGAGCATACTTCTTAGCTTGTTTATTTTCTCAAAGCAAGTTTCTTTGTACCTACATTAACCAGTGTTTGTTATGCTTTTATAAACCATGGAACAGGTGAGGTTTGAACCCATGGCAAGCAAGCCCTAAAACCCCAGGACAGTGTGTATTATTATAATCATGGGGGAGCGCTAAACCCGTAGGATTATACAATGCATGGGGGAGGGAATGGAAGGTATTTCGACTCAATTCAGGAAACCGGAGCACAGATCCAATTCCCTAGATCAAGAGCCCCTCACCAGCATCAAGGAACCTCCCTCGAGGGGTGGACAGTGCATAAGCCATTCAGCAAGCTGGTTTTAATAAGATTCATCCATCTGTTCCTTGGTTTGTTTGTAATTGTGTTATGATTTCATGAGTCGTGAGTGCACTTTCATATCTGGACACCTGGATATACTGCACCCCATATAAAAAATATAGTTTTCAAGGAAGAGTTCTGGTGTGACTTCTTGAAGTGATTTACATTATCTTTATCCAGAAAAAAGTCTTGTTTTGTGAATTCCAGGATACTGTACAAAAATAGTGAGATATAGTAGCTGCTACTGTAACTTCTAATTTATTATTTTCTTTATTCACTTACAGCAGCGAGGAGACAGTTGGAGGCAGTGGAGATGTCCTGTCTAAGGGCAATGTGTGGTGTAAATATTATGCAGAAAATTCGGAGTGTGGAAATTAGAAGGTGTGAGTTAATAAAAGCATTAGTCAGAGGGCAGAAGAGGGGTTGTTGAGGTGGTTTGGTCATTTAGAGAGAATGGATCAAAGTAGAATGACATGGAGAGCATATAAATCTGTAGGGGAAGGAAGGTGGGGTAGGGGTCGTCCTCAAAAAGGTTGGAGAGAGGGGGTAAAGGAGGTTTTGTGGGCGAGGGGCTTGAACTTCAAGCAAGCGTGCGTGGGCGTGTTGGATAGGAGTGAATGGAGATGAATGGTATTTGGGACCTGACGAGCTGTTGGAGTGTGAGCAGGGTAATATTTAGTGAAGGGATTCAGGGAAACCGGTTATTTTTATATAGCCGGACTCGAGTCCTGGAAATGGGAAGTACAATGCCTGCACTTTAAAGGAGGGGTTTGGGATATTGGCAGTTTGGAGGGATGTGTTGTGTATCTTTATACGTATAGACTTCTAAACTGTTGTGTTCTAAGCACCTCTGCAAAAACAGTGATTATGTGTGAGTGTGGTGAAAGTGTTGAATGATGATGAAAGCATTTTCTTTTTGGGGATTTTCTTTCTTTTTTTGGGTCACCCTGCCTTGGTGGGAGACAGTTGACTTGTTAAAAAAAAAAAAAAATACAAACATAGGTAAGGGACACTGTAGGCATAATGTACATAATAATATTATTAAAGTGTGTAATCTGGATTTTTTCAACATTATTAAAAACTCCAGATTACACTCAGTGCTTAAGACATGACAACCCATGACTTGTTGCTAGGTAAGAGCTCACCAACTTATAAATGAGTTGTGTTCCAAGCTTTTGAACTTACAAATGAATTGTGTTCCTATTTTTTGAACTTTAGAAAGGATTGTGTTCCTAGTTTTGAACTAATAAACAAGTTGGTTTTGCAGACAAAACAACTAAACAAAGAATAGTTATGTGAAACATAACTATTCACCCTTTCAGGGTCCAGGCCCCTGATCTGAAAATTGCTCTCAGGGTTCAAGAATTAAAAAAAAAAAAAAAATGAAACGATAGAGAATCTTTTTCCGAAGGCTATGAAACCAAAAGTACAAAATTTGATAGAAAACTTACAGAATTATGCTCTTTTTGATTTTTGCTGACATTCAGTAAAAACTGAACATTTCTGCTACTCTTGAGCTCAATTTCAAGCTACTTTAATTCTGAAACCAATCAAAATCATCTCTATTTCTGTAATATATCTTCCATTCTATCTAATGATACCAAGAAATACAACCCTAAAAACCATATGAAAATACACTGCAAAGTTGCTATATTAAACCAAATTCACAGTCATTTTTTTCCCCATCATGCACTGCATGGGGCAAGATTTTTTTTTATATTGTGCACACTCACCACACAGACCCATTCTCTCATATCTAGACCCAAATTTGCCACTCACTGCTTATCTGAATGAACCGAGCTCAAACCCATAGTACTACAGCACAAACTTCAAAATGGTAAACTGACTTGCATCTCAATGACTGTATAACTTTAACTGGTTTCTAGATGCCATGTCTGTATTTAAATGAAAATGTTTATTTTCAGTAAATACAGCATGCAACTGTTACAAGAATTAGTGACAAGTTACACAGGTATATTAGAAAGTCTGTGGTTTTGTAGAGCACTTCAGGCAGTCTTGAAACAAGCCTAAAACAAACTGTAGTACATATACTGTTTTGTTAACCCTTTGACTGTTTCAGGCCCCTCTCTGAAACTGTCATTCTATGTCGCCAAATATTCAAAAAAAAAAAATTATTTTTTCTTATGAAAATGTTAAGATTATTTTTCTGAGTGTTTTAGTCCAAAAAAAAAATTTTTGCCATTGGTACTTACCGGATAAGAGCCGTAATTTTGCAAAAAATGAGCCGCGTATGGAAACAGCGGCGACTGCCCCACCCGGGTAAAACTTTAGTTTACTTGTTTTTTGAATTTTTGTTTTTTTTTTTCACTTTTTTTATTTTTTTCACAAACTTATGTGGCCTATGAGCCCAAAAGTAAGGTGCAATTTTATATATAACACTCTTTGTAACAACACAATAAGCACACAAACATATTATAATATATTTTTTAAAAACTTTTTTTACACAAACAAAAAAACAAACAAACAAACAATTCTTCTTCTTCCTTCTTCTTCTTCTTCTCTTCTTCTTTTCTTTTCTTCCCCTTCTTCTTCTTCCCCCTTTTCCTTCTTCTCCTTTTTCTTTTTCTCCTTCTTCTTCTTCTCCTTTTTTCTTTTTTCCTTCTTCTTCCCCTTTTCTTCTTCTCCTTCTCTTTTTTCCCTTCTTCTTCTTCTCCTTTTTCTTCTTCCCTTTTCTTCTTCCCCTTCTTTTTCTCTTCCCCTTTCTCCTTCTCTTCTTCTCCTTCTTCTTCTTCCCCTTTCTTTTTCTTCCCCTTCTTCTTCTTCCCCTTTCTTTTTCTCCTTCTTCTTCCCCTTCTTCTTTTTCTCCTCTTCTTCTCCTTCTCCTTCCCTTCTTCTTCTTTTTCTTCCTTCTTCCCCCTTCTTCTCCTTCTTCTTCTCCTTCTTCTTCTCCTTCTTCTTCTCCTTTTCTTCTTTCCTCTTCTCCCTCCCTTCCTTCTCCTTTTTCTTCTCCCCTTCTTTCCTCCTTCTTCCCCTTCTTTCCCCCTTTTCCCTCCTTTCTTCCCTTCTTCTTCCCCTTTCTTCTCCTCCTTTTTCTCCCCCTTCCCTCCCCCTTTCCCCCCCCTTCTCCCTTCTCCTCCTCCTTCTCCCCTTCTCCTCCTTCTCCTCCTCCTTCCCTCCTCCTTTTTTGCGAGTGGGGGGCTTTAATTGTTTTGAGTCGAATCGGCAGTTTCCCAAGTACAATTATCTCTTTATCACTCCCCCTTACCCCTGTCAAAACAAGGGGGGTCGACTGCTTCCCCCCCCTTTCATCTAATTATTTTTCTCCCTCATTTTTAAATTTTTTCAATTGTCTTTTCGTCTGCCTTCTCTGTCTCACGGGTACACATAAATACAAGTATACATAGTGAAAATTCCCGGGATAACCCAAGAAACCCAGACAAAGTGCTTACTCGCTTGAAGATGTGAGAAAACGTGATGAACAGTCTTGTGGTCTCTCGGAACAGAACTAGAGGCAGACAGGGAGCTTGACAGAAGACAAAAGACAGAAAAATTTTTTGTGTACCACAAAAAAAAAGGGGAGGCGATGGTCTGAAAATTTTCCCCTCCTTTACGCCCCAAAAGCAGCTCTTATCAGATGTTATCCCCCCTTATTTTGTCACTGTCATGGGGGGTTTTTTTTTTTCTTGTTTAAAGGGGAACAATATTATTACATCTTCTTCTTCCCCTCCTCCTCCTCTTCTCCTCCTCCCCCTCCTCCCCCCCCCTTTTCCCCTTCCCTCCTTTTTCCCCCTCCTCCCCCTCCTCCCCTTTTCCCCCCTTTCCCCTCCTCCTTATTGCTTTTGGTCTCAAACTCCTCCAAATCTTTGATTCACTGACACTTCCATCGTGTTAAGAAATCATTGGGAAGAGAAGAGTCCCAGATTTGGGGGGAATCACATTTTTCTTACCACTAGAAAAGTAAAAAATGACAACTGAAATGGCATTCCCCAAAATTTCCCACGGGCTCCCCCGTTTTTTTTATTGGTGCACAGACCATGGAGACCCTTCTTCACATGGGGCCCTGCAGCTTTCTCCGCTTATTTAAAGCTGCAGAATTTATGCGTAAAAATACTCAAAAACATTGGTTTGTAAGACGTATTTATACGCAAAACAGTCAAAGGGAAAGATAAGAAAGATAAATTTCGTTCGGTTTTTTAACCCGGAGGTTTGCCACCCCGGATAACCAAGAAAGTATGCGTCACCGAGGACTGTCTAACTTTTTTCCTTGGGGGCCTTAATCTGCCCCCCGGATGCGACCCCCAAGTCGACTAACACCCCGGTACCTATTTCTGCTAGGTAACAGGACAACAGGGGTTTAAGGAAACTGTCGAAATATTTTTCCCCCCGCCCGGGAAAACGAACCCGGGCCCCCCGTGTGTGAAACGGAGCTTTAGCCCCCGGGCCCCCTTGAAATTTAGAATGCATTTTACAGTGATTTATTTTAAAATTTTCTTTTTTTTTTTTTTTTTTTTTTTAAAAGTCGGCCCTCTCCCACCCAGGCAAGGGTGACCCAAAAAAGAAGAAAATCCCCAAAAAGAAAATACTTTCATATCATTCAAAAACTTCACCCCACTCGCACATTTCACTGTTTTTGCAGAGGTGCTCAAAAACAACATCTAGAAGCATACCATATAAAGATACACAAAATACCCTCCAAACGCCAAACCCCAAACCCTCCTTTAAGTGCAGGCATTTACTTCCCCCTTTCCAGGCTCAGTCCGACTATTGAAAAAAACCGGGTTTTTCCCCGAAACCCTTTACTAAATATTTCCCCCCTACCTCCAAAAAGATCGTCAGGTCCCAATACCCTTCGTCTCCATTCACCCTATCTTTAAAACGCTCACGACGCTTGCGGGAAAACCAACCCCCTTTCCCACAAAACCCCTTTACCCCCTCTCTCCAACCCCTTTTGAGGGCGACCCCCACCCCGCCTTTTCCCTTCCCCCCTAGATTTATATCTTTCCTGTCATTCTACTGTGATCCATTCTCTCTAAATGACCAAACACCTCAACAACCCCCCTTCGCCCTCTGACTAATCTTTTATTAATCCCCACCTTCTCCTAATTTCCACACCCGAATTTTTTTTCTAATATTACACCCCACATTTCCCTTAAAGGACACTCCGCTGCCCCCAACCGCTCCTCCTGCGCATTACCCCCCCAAGCTTCACACCCATTAAGATGTTTGGGATACTATCTTTCATACTTCCCTTCTTTTCCCCTAGATACGTTTTTTGACTCCACATATACTCAACGCACCCCCACCTTTTTTTCCCCCATCAAATTTTATGAATAACCTATCCTTCATAAAACCATCGCCACACGTCAACTCCCCAAAATCTGAAAACATTCACTTCTTCCATACCCTCCTCCCCAATTTGTATCCAATTTTTCTTTATCTAAAACATTTGACACCTCATCACTTACTCTTTTTTATGTTCACTTTTCAAATTTCTACCTTTTCACACATTCCCAAACTCTCCCCAACCTTTGCAATTTTTTTTTAGAAACTCCCCTAAGCACAGTATCACAGCAAAAAGTAACTGTGTCAATTCCCATTTTTATTTATTCCCCATAAATTTTAAACCCACCCCTCTCCCAAACACCCAGCATTTATTCCTTTTCAACCCCATCATAAATAAAAAAACAACCATGGTGACATTACACATCCCTTCTAAGACCTACTTTTACCCGGGAAGTATCTCCCTCTCTTCTACAACCCAACCTGAGCCCCACTGTCCTCATAAAACTCTTTACAGCATTTTTAACTTTCCACCTATTCATTATACTTGCAAAATCTGCCACATTGCCCTCTACCACTCTATCATATGCCTTTCTAAACCAAAACAATAAAAACCCCCCTTCTTTTTAAAAAAACTGTTCCAATAAAAGCTTCATGAAAAAAAACCCGATCTACACATCCCCTCCCACTCTAAAAACCCCCTTTCCATCCCGCAATCCCACATTCTGTCTTCCTCTAATTCTTTCAATTATAAAACCCCAAGTACATTTTTCCCGGGATACTATAACTTTTTCCTCAAATTTTTACGTCTCTTTTTTCCCCTTTCCTTTATAAAGGGACTTACATCTCTCTGCCAACCCTTGGGACCTTTCCCCTTCATACATTTATTAAAAAAAAGTAAACCCAAACCCTCCAACACTTATCCCCCCCGCTTTTAAAAATTTCTGCATGATCCATCAGTTCCAGCGTTTTTCCCCCTTTCATTTTTCGTAACCTCAGTACCCCCCCCCCCTTACTTTGCTCTTCTTTACTCCTAAAAATGGTTACCTCCGACCGTGCATAAATTACTGCCCCGTTTCTTCCTTTAAAATTTAAAAATTCCCCCAAAAAAATCTCGCCATCTACCCAATACCTCCCTCTCCCCATCTACTAACTCCCCTACTCTGTTTTTAACTGAAATCCATATTTTCCCTAGGCTTTCTTAACTTGTTTAACTCGCTCCAAAATTTTTTCTTATTTTCATTAAAATTTCTTGGACAGTGCCTCTCCCACTCTATCATCTGCTCTCCTTTTGCACTCTCTCACCACTCTCTTACCTTTCTTTTCTCTCCATATACTTCCCTCTTCTTATAACACTTCTGCTTTGTAAAAACCTCTCAAAAGCTACCTTTTTCTCTTTTATCCACACCCTTTACTTCATCATTCCACCAATCACTCCTCTTTCCTCCTGCCCCCACCCTCCTATAACCACAAACTTCTGCCCACATTCTAATACTGCATTTTAAAACTATTCCAACCCTCTTCAACCCCCCACTACTCATCTTTGCACTACCCACCTTTCTGCCAATAGTCGCTTATATCTCACCCGAACTTCCTCCTCCCTTAGTTTATACACTTTCACCTCCCTCTTACTTGTTGTTGCCCACCTTCCTCTTTTCCCATCTCCTCTTACTTAACTGTAGCTACAACTAAATAATGATCCGATATATCAGTTTGCCCTCTAAAAACATGTACATCCTGGACCCTTTTTTACCCATAAACCCTTTTTACCACCAATACATAATCTAATAAACTACTTTCTTTACGTGCTACATCTTTACCTTGTATATTTATTTATCCTTTTTTTCATAAAATATGTATTACTTTTTACCAAATTTCTTTCTACACATAGCTCAATTAAAGGCTCCCCATTTACATTTACCCCTGGCACCCCAAATTTACCTACTACCCCCTCCATAACATTTTTACCCACTTAGCATTAAAATCCCCAACCACCTTTACTCTCACACTTGATTCAAAACTCCCCACGCATTCACTCAACATTTCCCAAAATCTCTCTCTCTCCTCTACACTTCTCTCTTTCCGGTGCATACACGCTTATTATAACCCACTTTTCACATCCAATCTTTATTTTGCTCCACATAATCCTTGAATTAAACATTTATAGTCCCTCTTTTCCTGCCATAGCTTATCCTTCAACATTATTGTTTACTCCTTTTTTAGCTCTAACTCTATTTGAAACCCCTGACCTAATCCCATTTATTCCTCTCCACTGAAACTCTCCCACCCCCTTCAGCTTTGTTTCACTTAAAGCCAGGACATTCCAGCTTTTTTCATTCATAACATCCACAATCATCTCTTTCTTATCATCTGCACAACATCCACGCACATTCAACTTCCACTTTGACAATTTTCTTCTTCTTATTCTTTTTAGTAATCTTTACAGGAAAAGGGGTTACTAGCCCATTGTTCCCGGCATTTTAGTTGACTTTTACAACACGCATGGCTTACGGAGGAAAGATTCTTATTCCACTTCCCCATGGATATAAAGGAAAATTAATAAGACCAAGAACTATTAAGATAAAATCAAAGAAAACTCAGATGAGTGTGTATAAATAAATGTGTACATGTATGTGTAGTGTGACCTAAGTGTAAGTAGAAGTAGCAAGACATGCCTGTAATCTTGCATATTTATGAGACAGACAAAAGACATCAGCAATCCTACCATCATGTAAAACAATCACAGGCTTCGTTTTACACTCACTTGGTAGGACGGTAGTACCTCCCTGGGTGGTTGCTGTCTACCAACCTACTACTATAACTTTTTATAATAAACTTTTTACTATAAACTTTTCATATAAAACATTAATATAACATTTGTAGATGTTTATAATTTGTAATGTTTGTAAGTTGCAGTAACTTGTGTATTCAAAATACATGAGCAAGACAAACATTTCTAGATGTAAAATGTACAAAAACAAAAAATTTAAGACATTACTTACAGCTGAGCAATGTCTTATGCATAACCATTCTATGGGCAAAATTCTGCACATATTTTCGCACCTGGTATGAGGAAGTAGTAGATTGTTCTTGGCTATCCGCTGATCATCCGTGAGAGTGAGATTGAAGGTTGTTTGTGATGCTAGGATGGCAACGGAGTCCAAGTTCTCATCTGAACACGGCACTTCTTTGCTCTTAGACTGCTGAATATCTTGTAAGTGTAGATTCTCATTTAAAGAAAATTCTTCATGCTGAAAAGATGTAGATTCAGTATCATATTAAGTTTGGTGTTATGAATATTCATATATATTTGTCAGATATGCTGCTAGTACTGAGATCACCTGAACTTTACCCCCTAGGATAACTGTGAAATAACTTATTATAATCATGGCAATCACTAGACCCTTAAGAGTCATACAGAACTAAACAGCAGAGGTGAGAATAATGGACGGGAAGAGGTGGAGGTGCTGAGGGAAGGACACTCGCTACAAGGATGTAGGTTATTGTTGTAGTATATTACCAAGAAGGGTTATAACAATGGTAGGACTGTCCAAGAGGAGGGCAGAGAAAGTACAGTATGTCGGGGCATTGAAGATATCTGAATTTAAGTTGGTGTGCTCTCAGATGAACAAAATACAAATAACCTACACATACAAGAAAAAACTTACAATAACATTTTGGTCCGACTTGGACCAGTAAAGCCATCATAGGTTTCTTTCTCATGTGTACGGGTTATTTGTGTATTGCTCCAGTCACGGTATTGTGCCTTTATATTCTTGATGAACAGAAACATTTTTCAAGAGTAAAAGAATAGTGTTCCATGGTTCACTTGTGTACTCAGATCATATACTGAATGCTGCCTGTGTGTACTATCACCTAGATCAGGGGTGGAGAACCTGCAGTCTTAAGGCCACATGCAGCACCTTTTAGGGCATTAAGTGAAACCTTCTGAATGAATTATTTTTTTGAAGTTATTATATAATAATTAACTTTTTACAAAATAATCAACATTTTGCAGTACATCTAATAAAAATTTCTTGAATGTGGCTGTTACAACTCTGATGTCATAACTTAAATAAAATGGTCCTGGCTCCTAAAGGCTGCTCACACTGCTGTCTAGGGGTTATAAACTTGCACTGAAAAGCACAGCAACTTCTGGGCCAGCATGTACTCATACAAATTAAGAAGCATGAGTGCAAATAATTAATGTTGTATAAGGAAGGACAAAAAAACTCACCTATACAAAAATATATCTATATTAATAGTAACTTATATACAACTTACAATCTACTCCAAAAAACCACCATGCTCCAGTTCACATTAGCTCACTAGCACACTGCTACTAACGAGTTAAAATACATAAACTGGGAGGCTTCATGACACCCGCCCTTCCTTTCTGCCGGCTACTTAGCCTACAGTTAAAATATTAAATGCTCTCCAAAACACAGGCCCTCGCACACACTAGGGCTTTACAAATAAATGAGATTATCAGAAAATACACAAAATAGAATACACTAAAAAAAAAAACCTTACCCAATACCACCTCCTCAAAACCACTACACCTCACCTCCTCTGCTGTGCGTAACCTACTGCCTAATTATTATTATAATCAAGGGGAAGCGCTAAACCCATAGGATTATACAGCGCCTGGGGGGGGAGATGTGGAAGGCATTCAGGCTTAATTCGGGGAACTGGAGCGCAGATCCAATTCCCTAAATCAAGAGCCCCTCACCAACATCAAGGAACCTTCCCTGAGGGGACCTACTGCCTAAACATGCCTCATCTGCTTCTGTCCTGGCCACTCTGCCTGTGACAGGAATAAAACACGTCCGCTTTCAGGAAATAATACACTTCCACTTTCAGTATACTCCTGGAACTATGTTATATAAAATATTTTTTCTGCATGTCACTGTGTAACAGTGGCCTTATTAGATTACAGCAAACTTTAATGCAGCCTTCCAATATAAAAAGGTTCCCCATCCCTGACCTAGATTATTATTAATAATTTTTAAAGGGGTGGACTGATAAGCCAGCGGAAGGCCTCAGCCAGATAAACAATAGCTCCAGTGGCGGGGTCATCACATGACAACTACCTGTGTCAAAAAACAACTGTCCTGTTTCCTGACAAATCTTACCTAACCTAACGTGCCGAGTGTCTAAGGTTTGATCCCTGGGATGGGTGGAAACACTGGGCATTTTCCTTATACCTGCTGTCCCTGTTCACCCAAAATGCACCACATTTTAGTGGCTTTCTTTTGTGCTTAATATTTTATTACATGTAAACTACATTTTGTATACTGCACAATGTTTAAGTGGGTATTTGGGTATTAGTTGCCAGTTGTGAGTCACATCCTGGGGTGGTAGTATACCTTACATAGTACCGGGCTTTGAAATGAGCTGTTACAATAACACCTCTTAGTCTATAAAATTGATTTGCATAAAAAAAATCAGGACATTTTAACAATCCTAGCACAGTGAAATAAAATTATGCAAATTTTTATATGACAATTATATTATGTTTACAATAATGTTTTATCACTGATTACATCATTGCTTAGTTAATTTTAAGCCAGCCCGTAATGCTATGCATACAAGTGGCTTTGGCATGCTGCTCTTACCTGTATTTTTTTGTACCTCTGTATGTATGTTCAAATTATTAAATAAATAAATAAATAAATAAAGATAGAAATGTTAAAAGCAGGTGGGGATATAGTTTTGGAGTGGTTGGTGCAATTATTTAATAAATGTATGGAAGAGGGTAAGGTACCTAGGGACTGGCAGAGAGCATGCATAGTTCCTTTGTATAAAGGCAAAGGGGATAAAAGAGAGTGCAAAAATTATAGGGGGATAAGTCTGCTAAGTATACCTGGTAAAGTGTATGGTAGAGTTATTATTGAAAGAATTAAGAGTAAGATGGAGAATAGGATAGCAGATGAACAAGGAGGCTTTAGGAAAGGTAGGGGGTGTGTGGACCAGGTGTTTACAGTGAAACATATAAGTGAACAGTATTTAGATAAGGCTAAAGAGGTCTTTGTGGCATTTATGGATTTGGAAAAGGCGTATGACAGGGGGATAGGGGGGGCAATGTGGCAGATGTTGCAAGTGTATGGTGTAGGAGGTAGGTTACTGAAGCAGTGAAGAGTTTTTACGAGGATAGTGAGGCTCAAGTTAGAGTATGTAGGAAGAGGGAAATTATTTCCAGTAAAAGTAGGCCTTAGACAAGGATGTGTGATGTCACCGTGGTTGTTTAATATATTTATAGATGGGGTTGTAAGAGAAGTAAATGCGAGGGTCTTGGTAAGAGGCGTGGAGTTAAAAGATAAAGAATCACACAAAGTGGGAGTTGTCACAGCTGCTCTTTGCTGATGACACTGTGCTCTTGGGAGATTCTGAAGAGAAGTTGCAGAGATTGGTGGATGAATTTGGTAGGGTGTGCAAGGGAAGAAAGTTAAAGGTGAATACAGGAAAAAGTAAGGTTATGAGAATAACAAAAAGATTAGGTGATGAAAGATTGAATATCAGATTGGAGGGAGAGAGTATGGAGGAGGTGAATGCATTCAGATATTTGGGAGTGGACGTGTCAGCGGATGGGTCTATGAAAGATGAGGTGAATCATAGAATTGATGGGGGGAAAAGAGTGAGTGGTGCACTTAGCAGTCTGTGGAGACAAAGAACTTTGTCCTTGGAGGCAAAGAGGGGAATGTATGAGAGTATAGTTTTACCAACGCTCTTATATGGGTGTGAAGCATGGGTGATGAATGTTGCAGCGAGAAGAAGGCTGGAGGCAGTGGAGATGTCATGTCTGAGGGCAATGTGTGGTGTGAATATAATGCAGAGAATTTCGTAGTTTGGAAGTTAGGAGGAGGTGCGGGATTACCAAAACTGTTGTCCAGAGGGCTGAGGAAGGGTTGTTGAGGTGGTTCGGACATGTAGAGAGAATGGAGCAAAACAGAATGACTTCAAGAGTGTATCAGTCTGTAGTGGAAGGAAGGGGGGGTAGGGGTCAGCCTAGGAAAGGTTGGAGGGAGGGGGTAAGGAGGTTCTGTGTGCGAGGGGCTTGGACTTCCAGCAGGCATGCGTGAGCGTGTTTGATAGGAGTGAATGGAGACAAATGGTTTTTAATACTTGACGTGCTGTTGGAGTGTGAGCAAAGTAACATTTATGAAGGGGTTCAGGGAAACCGGGCGGGCCCGGGACTTGAGTCCTGGAGATGGGAAGTACAGTGCCTGCACTCTGAAGGAGGGGTGTTAATGTTGCAGTTTAAAAACTGTAGTGTAAAGCACCCTTCTGGCAAGACAGTGATGGAGTGAATGATGGTGAAAGTTTTTCTTTTTCGGGCCACCCTGCCTTGGTGGGAATCGGCCAGTGTGATAATAATAAATAAAAAAAATATATATTTTGCCCCAAAATCAACAAAGCACACTAAAGCTTGCAAAAAACTGATGTAAAATAAATTATTTAACTAACCTATGAAATGGGGGAAAAATATTCATATATAATCCACTGCTTATACATTATGTAACCAGTAACAAAAGTATTATTATTCTTTAAGGATAAGAAGCATTTACTGTAATGTACTGTATTTATATTTACAAGCCTTAATAAATTTTGTTATAAATATCATAAACAGCAACTTACAGCTTTGATTATTTTCCTGGAAGGTTTCTTAAGTATGAGCTGACAGCTGCATGGACTAGAGGGCAGCACGTGGACTACCGCACTAGAAATGTGACAAAGGGCTGACAGAACACTCTCAGGCATGACATCCCGTCCACAGTATAAAATGAGTTGCTCAACATTATCCCCTGTCCAAAAGTAAAAATAATAGCATGATGAAGATAAGGGGTCCCCAATTTGCACTAGATGTGGCACTTTCCTATACAGGCATACCTCACTAATACAGTGGGTTAGGTTCCAGACCACCACCATAAAGCCAATATTGCCTCAAAGAGAATCACAGCCTTTTTCTTCACTTGTCAGTGTATATAAAAGCCTAAAAACATGCTTACCTGTCATTTATTAAGTGCACAACAGCATTAGGCCTATAAAAATGATGCAAAAGTAAAACTATTTTTTTTTAAATTGCCAAAAACCAACTTAAGAGCAAGGCAAGTGCTGAAAATAATAAACATGAATATAATTGAAGAGTAAATGTTGGAAAGGCATGGAATAGGAGGTAAGTTACTGAAAGCAGTGAAGAGCTTTTATGAGGATAGTGAGGCTCAGGTTAGAGTATGTAGGAGAGAGAAAGGGAGATTATTTCCCAGTAAAAGTAGGTCTTACACAGGAATGCATGATGTCACCATGGTTGTTCAGTATACTTATATACAGGGTTGTAAGAGAAGTGAATACTTGAGTGTTGGAAAGAGGTGTGGGATTAAAAGATAAAGAATCTAACACAAAGTGGGAGTTGTCACAGTTGCTTTTTCCTGATGACACACTGCTTTTGGGAGATTCTGAAGAGAAGTTGCAGAGGTTGGTGGACGAGTTTGGTAGGGTATGTAAAAGGAAATTAAAAGTGAACAAAGGAAAGAGTAAGGTAATGAGGATAACAAAAAATTTTCTTAATGAAAGACTGGATATCAGACTGGAGGGAGGGAGTATGGAGGAAGTGAATGTATTCAGATATTTGGGAGTGGACTTGTCAACAGATGGGTCTATGAAAGATGAGGTGAATCATAGAGTTGATGAGGGGGAAAAAAGGTGAGCGGTGCAATGAGGAGTCTGTGGAGACAGAACGTTATCCATAAAAGCAAAGAAGGGAATGTATGAGAGTACAGTTATAACAACACACTTACATGGGTGATGAATGTTGCAACAAGGAGAAGGCTGGAAGCAGTGGAGATGTCATGTCTGATGGCAATGTTTGGAAATTAGGAGGTGTGGGGTTACAAAAAGTATTATCCAGTGGGCTGAGGAGGGGTTTAGGTGGTTCAGACATTTAGAAAGGATGGAACAAAATAGAATGACTTGGAATGTATAAATCTGTAGTGGAAGGCAGGCAGGGTAGGGGTCAGTCTAGGAAAGGTTGGAGGGAGGGGAGTAAAGGAGGTTTTGTGTGCAAGGGGCTTGGACTTCCAGAAAGCACGTGTGAGCCTGTTAGATTGGAGCGAGTGGAGACAAATGGTTCTTATGACTTGATGTGCTGTTGGAGTGTGAGCAAAGCAACATTTATGAAGAGATTCAGGAAAACTGTAATATTCCCTCCCTCCTTCAGTATGAGGGAACTGTACTTCCCAAGGCAGGTACAGGGAGGTAATCAAGTTTGATCCAGGGGAGGGAACAGCTCCAACTCTTTGGATCAAAAGCCCTTCAAGAGCATCAAGACACCCTTTAGAGTGATAATTACCTGCAGCTAGTAAATGTAGGCTCCTTATCAAGTGTAAAGAATCCTGGTGATGAGTGATATCCTCAAGCCTATCCACTACCATTACTATTTTTCTTTTTCCACTTCCATCACCATTATGTCCGAGTCTGAAAATCTCTTGTAATGGTTGTTGCAAAGATACTTCAGGCTGGTCACTCACCCAGCCACATGGATCACTAGCACCATCGTAGAATTCAATTTTTCCTGATGACTCTGAAAGATAACACATATACAAGTACATGTATTATTATACCATTGCAAAATGTTTGTCACTATTCCAGCCACAATAATCACTTGTACCATCATAAAACAATGTTTTTCTTTGATGTCTCTGAAAGATGCTCATGTTTATATTATTAAACCATCATACAGAAAATGCCCCCATATTATTAAACCATTGTACAGATTGTGGGTCGTAAATTGCCTGCACTGAAACAACAGAATTATTTTATTTATCAATGAATGGTTGTGCTGTGAGATGGGGAGAATAATGGGTTGTCAGTGAATGGTTGTGCTGTGAGATGGGGAGAATAATGGGTTAGTGAATGGTTGGGCTGTGAGATGGGGAGAATATTGGGTTGTCAGTGAATGGTTGGGCTGTGAGATGGGGAGAATAATGGGTTGTCAGTGAATGGTTGGGCTGTGAGAGGGGGAGAATAATGGGTTGTCAGTGAATGGTTGTGCTGTGAGATGGAGAGAATAATGGGTTGTCAGTGAATGGTTGGGCTGTGAGAGGGGGAGAATAATGGGTTGTCAGTGAATGGTTGTGCTGTGAGATGGGAGAATAATGGGTTGTCAGTGAATGGTTGTGCTGTGAGATGGGAGAATAATGGGTTAGTGAATGGTTGGGCTGTGAGATGGGGAGAATATTGGGTTGTCAGTGAATGGTTGGGCTGTGAGATGGGGAGAATAATGGGTTGTCAGTGAATGGTTGGGCTGTGAGAGGGGGAGAATAATGGGTTGTCAGTGAATGGTTGTGCTGTGAGATGGAGAGAATAATGGGTTGTCAGTGAATGGTTGGGCTGTGAAGGGGGAGAATAATGGGTTGTCAGTGAATGGTTGTGCTGTGAGATGGGGAGAATAATGGGTTGTCAGTGAATGGTTGTGCTGTGAGATGGGGAAAATAATGGGTTGTCAGTGAATGGTTGGGCTGTGAGAGGGGGAGAATAATGGGTTGTCAGTGAATGGTTGGTCTGTGAGATGGGGAGAATAATGGGTTGTCAGTGAATGGTTGTGCTATAAGATGGGGAGAATAATGGGTTGTCAGTGAATGGTTGGTCTGTGAGATGGGGAGAATACAGTGGACCCCCGGTTTACGATATTTTTTCACTCCAGAAGTATGTTCAGGTGCCAGTACTGACCGAATTTGTTCCCATAAGGAATATTGTGAAGTAGATTAGTCCATTTCAGACCCTCAAACATACACGTACAAACGCACTTACATAAATACACTTACATAATTGGTCGCATTCGGAGGTGATCGTTATGCGGGGGTCCACTGTAATGGGTTGTCAGTGAATGGTTGTGCTGTGAGATGGGGAGAATAATGGGTTGTCAGTGAATGGTTGGGCTGTGAGATGGGGAGAATAATGGGTTGTCAGTAAAAGGTTGGTCTGGGAGATGGGGAGAATAATGGGTTGTCAGTGTATGGCTGTATTGTGAGATGGGGGGAATGATGGCAAGACAAACAAGCGTTTTGGGAGGTCCTATAGACCACACTTATAATAGCCTTTTCATTCCTTTCGAGAAACTGCAGCTAAACATATTGTGTCTGTCTTTTCTGCCTTTATATCGTTTTTGATGCAATGGTTTAATTTTTATCATGCATATCAACTCTGCCCCTTTCCTATTGGCTGTCATTGTGGAATAATTTATACCTCTGTCTGTGGCATTCAGCAGATGTGTTCCAATTTTTCAGACTGAATCAGGTCTTGTTTTTTGCAATAATATCTGTGTTTCCTCATATGCGATTAGTTTTAGTTTATTTCTTGCATTGTGGATAATTGTATAGTAAATGCTAAGTAAGTTTTTGTGTGGTCTCTCTTCCTTGTTTCACTGTAAAACAATCCCATTGTTTTTGTATTAACTATTCTATGAGTAATACCATTTTCTTAAATTTTTCCAAATATATCTTGGCAATTTTGCTCCAGCCATCCCTAGTACTGCAGACTGTACCTTAAGGCTTTATAAACCTAATAGTGGGCTAAACATAGCTTGCAATAAAGTACCCAAAATGTTTTTCTGTTGGATACCCAAAATGTTTCATGTGTGTCCCTTTAACTGATAGCTGGCATTTTCATACTTCTCACACTGTTAATGGTGGGAATGTTGGAGCTCAGAGGATCATTTAAACTGAAATGGCAGTGGAGTAATGTCAAGACAGCAGGAGAACAAGTGATGGTTGGGGGCAGCTCTAGGTTATATAGGAGGGTCTTAGAGGTGACAATCTAGTGGGAAGGAAAAGCTAGACTTGTCTTGAAGCAGCATTATTATTAGTTTTATTTGGAGGGGCTTTGAGGGACCTGATGGAATCTTTGGGAGCTTCAGGGGCAGTGTCACTAGTGATGGTGGATATTTTCTTTTCACTTTCCAATCAAAATCAAATCAACATCTTTAAGAAGCAAACACAGAAACAATGATTGTGTTTACAGTTTGTAACTTACCGCCAGGCTTTAAATAATAAGATATTACAAGGACCCCAATGGGAATATGTCACTTTGTCTGGCTTATTATTTTTGGTTATCCTAGGTAATTTACACATATGTTACTATGTATAATAACTACTTATGTCGACCTGTACCTAAATAAACTTATTATTAGACAAAAATTTAACAGGTACATTTAAATTACAGTATTTCATTAAATAAAATCATATTAATTTACATAAATGTATCTTTTAATTTAGTAATAAAAACTAACCTTCCTTCAGAAACCTTCTTATATCCTGAGCTCGGAGAGAAGTGTGAAGATAATGAATATTAGCAGGAGAGCGAAGGTGCGAGTTTATGACAGTATATAACAGTCCTCGACCATTAACTTCATTTGTATCTGAAAGTGGAAAAAAAGAGGTTTAAAACCTTTGTAAATAAACAAGAAACACTTTAATAAATGGTTGATAAATTACTTGTGTTTTTACTCTATAATACTTTGTAATCTATAATACTTTGTAATCTATAATACTTTGTAATCTATAATACTTTGTAATCTATAATACTTTGTAATCTATAATACTTTTTTAGTCTATAAAACTTTTTTATCTATAATCAGATCAATTAATAGTTCAAAAATTGTTCCCTGTATAATTCATAAATAATATAATTTATATTATATATGAGGGTAATAAACACTAGCAATAATATGATCTTATTTCTACAATAACTTACAGCCAGACATTATATAATAAAATATTACAAAGACAACAATGGAAATAAGTCATTTTGAGTTTTATTATCCTGGATGGTAATTAACATGTTAATATGTATGATAATTGTACTTACATGTACCTGTAGCTCAATATAATTATTATAATTATTTATACATACTTCGAGACACTAATGCAACACATGGGAATCTTTATTGAAGAAACGTTTCGCCACACAGTGGCTTCATCAGTCCAGTACAAAGTAGAAGTGGGTAAGGAGAGTAGAAGTTTGAGGTAATCAGTCCCTCAACCTGGAATCGATGTGTTCAGTCCATCAGTCTTGTAGGAAGTGCAGCACAGGGTCAGAGAGGTGGCTTATATACTGCAGTGAGATGAGTTGAAGTATATAAGCCACCTCTGACCCTGTGCTGCACTTCCTACAAGACTGATGGACTGAACACATCGACTCCAGGTTGAGGGACTGATTACCTCAAACTTCTACTCTCCTTACCCACTTCTACTTTGTACTGGACTGATGAAGCCACTGTGTGGCGAAACGTTTCTTCAATAAAGATTCCCATGTGTTCCATAAGTGTCTCAATTCTTCAACTTGTCGGTTTTCAAAATCATTCATCACATAATTATTTAGTCTATCATTAAAGACAATTTTATGAAAGTTCATGCACACAATCTTTAAAAAACTTGACAATACCTGTTAGAAGTAATATTCTTGGGGTGGGTGTTTCCTCACACACGAAAATCTTCTCTAAGTTAGTTTTAGACATTTGTTCGTCTTCTAATTCTTCAGGAACTTGTAAATTTAGATGATCAGTCTTCTAATACTTCAGGAAACTTGAAAGTTGTTGATGTTTCATCTTCTTTCTTCCTTCTTCTGGGGTTTATAAAGGCCACTGACAGCTTAGGCTCTTATGGCACCTTATTGCACTTAATGCAGGAAAACATATTAATAGTAATACTGATTATTATTATTATTATTATTATTATTATTATTATTATACATACTTTATTTAAGTATGATACAATGTTTGTACAAAGGTGAATGTCATTTAGATGTACATGCAAAAAGCCCCTTAATATGCAGAGTATTTTGGATAAACTTAAACTGGCTTAAGATTAATAAAACAATAATTTTATACAGTCACTTGGAGTGTAAACAGAAATTTGGAAGTTACAATGAATACAGGAAAATTGAAGAAGGAACAGAAGTTCCTTATGTAAGGAGAAAGAGAAGCTGGAACTTCCCACAATTGTCGAAAGCTTTTGGAAAGCCTATGTATACTACATCTGTATTTTGTTTATCCTCTACAGCATCCAGGACCTTGTCATAGTGGTCCAGTAACTGAGACAGACAGGAGCGACCTGCTCTAAACCCGTGTTGTCCTGGGTTGTGTAATTGATGGGTATCTAGATGGTTGGCGATCTTGCTTCTTAGAACCCTCTCAAAGATTTTTATGATATGGGATGTTAGTGTTATTGATCTGTAGTTCTTTGCAATTGCTTTACTGCCACCTTTGTGGAGTTGGGCTATGTCTGTTGTTTTTAGTGTGTGTGGGATGACCCGTGTGTCCATGCTCCCTCTCCATAAAATGCTGAAGGCACGTGATAGGGGCTTCTTGCAGTTCTTGATGAACACGGAGTTCCATGAGTCTGGGTCTGGGGCAGAGTGCATGGGCATGTCATTAATTGCCTCTTCAAAGTCTTGTGGAGTTAGAATAATGAAGAATTGAGACACTTATGCAACACATGGGTTGCATAAGTGTCTCAATTCTTCAACTTGTCGGTTTTCAAAACCATTCATCACATCTGTCAGACACTGCAACATCATGGAATCTTGGTACAAAAACTTCAACGCTTGCCCAAACCTTTGGACGATGACCTACTTACATTAGTGGCAGGTCCCACTAAGATCCCGCCTCCTCCTGCTTCAACTCCTCTCACTGCAGTATATAAGCCATCTCTCTGGCCCTATGCTGCACTTACTACAAGAGTGATGGACTGAACACATCGAATCCAGGTTGAGGGACTGATTACCTCATACTTCTACTCTCCTTACCCATTTCTACTTTGTATTGGACTGATGAAGCCACTGTGTGGCAAAACGTTTCTCCAATAAAGATTCCCATGTGTTGCATAAGTGTCTCAATTCTTCAACTGGAGAGAGTTTACCTGGAGAGAGTTCCGGGGGTCAACGCCCCCGCGGCCCGGTCTGAGACCAGGCCTCCTGGTGGATCAGAGCCTGATCAACCAGGCTGTTGCTGCTGGCTGCACGCAAACCAAAACCATTCATCACAGTTAGAATAATATCCGAGATTTCTGGGATGTAGTAATAAAGATTATTATTGTTGTTATTATTACTATTACTTATTTATATCCCAACTTGGGCCGTCATAATCCTTCAACCCATCAACACCTGTCCTTGAACCATCATAACCCTTTAATCCAACAACGGTCCTTGTGTCATGTGGGTTTTCGATACGTGGATAGGGTAAGAATACTCACGTAGGCTGGTAGTACGTATAATATAACGGAAAGTATGGGAAAGCGCTAACAGCCGTCCTGCCTCTCTCTGCTCCCTAGCCTGACTGACCCATGAGTGCCTACGGGTGAGGATGTTTGAAATCCTGCTATGGTCAGCAGCAATATGAATACAGTCAATGATTCACACAGACGGTTGGTAGTGAGTCATCTACTGGTACACTGGTTACTGGTAACTGGTTACTAGGAACTGGTACTACTACTGAGACTTGGGCCGTCAAAATCCCTTCAACAACGGCCCTTGGGCCGTCATAACCCTTCAACAACGGTTTTTGAGCCGTCATAACCCTTCGACAACGATCCTTGGGCCGTCATAACCCTTTAGCAACGGTCCTTGGACCGTCATAACCTTTCAACCCATCAATAACGGTCCTTGGGCCGTCGTAACTCTTCTGCAACGCTCCTTGGACCGTCATAATCTTTCAACCCATCAACGATCCTTAGACCGTCATGACCTTTCAACCCATCAACAGCGGTCCTTGGACCGTCATAACTTTTCAACCCATCAACAACGGTCCTTGGGCCGTCATAACCTTTTAGTAACGGTCCTTAGACCGTCATAACCTTTCAATCCATCAACAACGGTCCTTGGACCGTCATAATTCTCCAACCCAGCAACGGCCCTTGGGCCGTCGTAATTCTTCAACTGAAGAATATCCAAGTATTCATATTTTGCCATATCAGAGCATTGATGCAGGCTAATAGGAAATTATTATTATTAAGGTTAGCCGGACTTGAGTCCTGGAGGTGAGAAATACACTCTGGAGAGGTGGAAATATGTTGCAGTTTTTAAACTAGTGTAGGCGCGTCTCTCGCAAGAAAGTGATGGAGTGAATGACGATAAAGGTATTTCTTCCTTTTCGGGTCTCCCTATCTTGGTGGGAAACGGCCGATGTGTTCATAAAATAAATATAATAAAGTAAATTATTATTATTACCCCCCATTCCCACAGCCGCAAGATGTTTTTCATGTGATGAATGGTTTTGAAAACTGACAAGTTGAAGAATTGAGAAAGTACTTTCTACAAGGCTGATGGACTGAACACATCGACTCCAGGCTGAGGGACTGATTACCTCAAACTACTCCTCTCCTTATACCTTCCTGATTTGTATTGGACTGATGAAGTCACTGTGTGGCGAAACGTTTCTTCAATAAAGATTCCCATATGTTGCATAAATGTTTTCCATCTTTACATAATAAGATCGAAAAAAATGATATATGAATTTGTATATATGGCTTATTGAATTATATTTGAGACAGTGCAGAATACTCTCAAAAAACTGATTTTTTTTAATCTAAAGAAATAAAAACGCAAAAAATATTGGTCGTAGTTGTGTTAGTCTTTATGAAGACAATTTATGTATGTGTACTCACCTATATGTGGCTGCAGGGATTGATTCACAGCTCCTGGCCCCGTATATGTGTACTCGCCATTTTATGTGGTTACATGGGTCGAGCACAGCTCTTGACCCCATGTACGTGCGTGTACTCATATGTGGTTATATGGGTCGAGCACAGCTCTTGACCCCATGTACGTGCGTGTACTCATATGTGGTTATATGGGTCGAGCACAGCTCTTGACCCCATGTACGTGTGTCTACTCATATGTGGTTATATGGGTCGAGCACAGCTCCTGGTCCCGTGTGTGTGTGTGTGTGTGTGTGTGTGCATAGTCACCTATATGTGGTTATATGGGTCGAACACAGCTCTTGGCCCCGTGTGTGTGTGTACAATATGTGGGGGTGTATACCTGGAGAAGGTACCAGGGGTCAACGCCCCCGCGGCCCGGTCTGTGGCCAGGCCTCGCGGTGCGCATATATATATATATATATATATATATATATATATATATATATATATTATATATATATATATATAATATATATATATATATATATATATATATATATACACTATTGTTTGTATTATCTTGTTCGCTAGTAATAGTTCTAGGATATACTGAGCTTATACGTACAAATCTGCCTGTATAGGAGACAATGTAAACTCTGTGTATACACACAGACTATATACATCTAATTATATATACATATATTATGGGTATTATTATAAAAATAATATTAATTTCATAGAAAATATGAGGGTGTAGTTGACTTGTTAAACACCAGCAACACCTTGAATTTGATAATAAGGAATAAAGTAAAAGTGCAGTGTATATACACAGGGTATATACATCTTATAATGTATATATTATATATATATTATCAAGACAGGAAGAGATATTTTACACAGATATAAAGTGTCTTTAAGGCGAGTACGACATGGTTTCCTGTGAGTGAGTGTGTGTGGTGCCAGACGTTGAATGAATGTTCAGTGTGAGGTAGGAGAGTGTAGTGGAGAGGCAGTAGTGTCTTCTTCCTCTACGTCTACCTCCACCCTCTAGCTCCTGGTCCCTGGATCCCTCAGTTCTGTAGTGAGCAGCGTCGAGTCATCACTGGCGGCTGCTGACACACTCGTAGTCATACAAGTCTTAGTTCTACCTTAATCTTCCACTTCCACTACATAACTATCATCTACAACCTTCCAAGACTGTCTTAGTAACCACAACTATATTATACATCCTCCATGGCTGCTAATGAACACTTAATTAACTGATAAAATACCTATTATGGTCGTGACATCCAGAGACTCCTCATAATATTCATCTCTAATACAATACCTGTATTATATTACGAGTGTTATATTACGTTATTATATTACGTTATTATATTACGAGTGTTATATTACGAGTGTTATATTACGTTATTATATTACGAGTGTTATATTACGTTATTATATTACGAGTGTTATATTACGTTATTATATTACGAGTGTTATATTACGTTATTATATTACGTTATTATATTACGAGTGTTATATTACGTTATTATATTACGAGTGTTATATTACGTTATTATATTACGAGTGTTATATTACGTTATTATATTACGAGTGTTATATTACGTTATTATATTACGTTATTATATTACGTATTATATTACGTTATTATATTATGTGTTATATTACGTTATTATATTACGAGTGTTATATTACGTTATTATATTACGAGTTATATTACGTTATTATATTACGAGTGTTATATTACGTTATTACATTACGTTATTACATTACGTTATTACATTACGTTATTACATTACGTTATTACATTACGTTATTACATTACGTTATTACATTACGTTATTACATTACGTTATTACATTACGTTATTACATTACGTTATTACATTACGTTATTACATTACGTTATTACATTACGTTATTACATTACGTTATTACATTACGTTATTACATTACGTTATTACATTACGTTATTACATTACGTGTTATATTACGTTATTACATTACGTGTTATATTACGTTATTACATTACGTGTTATATTACGTTATTACATTACGTGTTATATTACGTTATTACATTACGTGTTATATTACGTTATTACATTACGTGTTTATATTACGTTATTACATTACGTGTTATATTACGTTATTACATTACGTGTTATATTACGTTATTACATTACGTGTTATATTACGTTATTACATTACGTGTTATATTACGTTATTACATTACGTGTTATATTACGTTATTACATTAGGTGTTATATTACGAGTGTTATATTACGTTATTATATTACGTGTTATATTACGTTATTACATTACGTGTTATATTACGTTATTACATTACGTGTTATATTACGTTATTACATTACGTGTTATATTACGAGTGTTATATTAGGTGTTACTACACATTTACAAGTAACAAGTGATATTGTCCTTGGTGTTGATAATGTCAATATATGAACTTAGTGTTTCACGTACATGTTGATGCAGTAGTTAATATAAACTCAGTAACTTGGTCAATATTACTTTACGGTCCTTCTGAAAATAAACTTATTGTAAACTTATTTTGACGTTTTTGTTGGAACTTTGAAGTGTTAATTACCTTTAATAACATTGTTTCATCTTTACTGTTTTTTAAAAATTGATTTTTATATTAAAATTACGTGGAAAAAGTCTAAATGAAATATCCAGAGTGACTATTTCTTCAATATTATTAAACTCGATTTGTGAAGAAAAATTTAAAGTGTGACTGAGAAATTAGTCAATATTTGTACCTTATTCTTGCGTTTTAATGCAGAAAATTGGTAGTTTCAGTAGCGCTTACTGTTTTTTCCAGTTTTTCTAAAAATAAAAACTGTGCCTAAGATGATGTCATTAGTTATATAAACTATACAAGACTTTAAAAGTTTTTGCATTAATTTGCATACTGGTGCCTTAATATTAACTACACCAGAACAACTTTAATAATACATGTATGAGGCGCCAGTAATATATTGCTGTCTGTATACAGACAATTTGGTTATTAATATTACTGGGAAAGTTAACTTTGTGAAGCTTCTGCAGTACAACAATATATGATAGAATATAAAATATGGCCTTAAACTAGTAAAACATTAGTCTGTGGATATTATTACAACTGAAACTATAATCTGGTGTTTTTAAGTGCCAAAATCTGACTGTTTTAAACTATATAATTGTACATTATTTAGAGCAAATTCTGTGATGTAAGAAAATTGACACTCGACTTATTGAACAATAATCAACTTCCTCATTCCGTATTTTAAATAAATCGTATTAGTTACTGGAACCTCATTCTATGGGAAATTTGATCGTATTAACACTCGGAAGAATAGATATTTCCCGAGATACAGCAAATCTATCAGTCTTCTATAACTACAAGGATATTAGGTAAGTGGCCTTCTTATTTTAGTAATAATTTATTAGGACACAGATGAAAATAGGCACCCTGGCCAAATCTCCGGACAAACTACAAATATTAATGTTAAATTATGATGTGAAACATTTAACTGTAAGTACTTAGTGAAATTAGATGGAAGAGCTTCAGTCTTGTATATTGATTAGTGTAGTTTACAAATGTTAAGTTTGTGTTATGAGAGCAAATATTTACTTTGTTAGAGGCATTAACTGGGTGGCCAAGAAGTCTGATATGTGGGTCTCGGGTACACGAGGACACACCTGCAAGTTTTATATATAAAGTCAGTGATGCTAGGAAATACTTTTTTAGCATTAGGAATAGGAAAGACCTAGATAGGGAAGTGAGGCAGGATCCATACATAACTTTGTCTAAGAGGTGTAATAAGGTTCACGCAGCCAGGTGAACATGAACCCAGTAGTGACCCGCGGAGATGCGGTACCAGGAGCTGTGACTCTACCCCTGCAACCCCCAGATAAGGGAGTACAAATAGGTGAATAACTTTAGTCCTTAATCTTCTGATATTATATATGAACGATTCACCCCCATCTTATTAACGCCTGAGTGTGAAATTTTAAGGTTAAGTCTTGGACCACTAGATACTCTTACTGCAAATTACCAAACTGGTTAAACTCTCCTATACTCGTGCAGATTTGAACGTTTCCTGGTTATACTGCCAACTCCTTGCTAGCTAGCTAGCTAGCTAGCTAGGTTTAATTTTTGGAGTTGCCTGTGTTTTTATAGATATATAACCTACGCTGGCCTAACTTAAATTTAGTATTTATAAGCTTACAAAATTAAACTGACGTTTGGAACATCGTAAGATAATTAACCTAATAAATTAAGGATGTTTCTTAATGACTCGTGATGTTGATACTTTCATTAAACTTAAGCAGCTCAGTGAGTGCACAATCCATTCTTAGAAATTTAATAACGTCTTAAGTGAAAAAATCAAATTATTTCATTGTCAATAGCATTAGTGTTGTGCAAATTACATTAACTCTGGATCACTTGATTCTTTCCCATATTCCTCCCTAAAGGATAAGTTAACTAAATTCATGGAACTTGTATATATATATTTTTAATGTTGCATTATTACTAACCTAACAGCCTAAGCTTGCTCAAATTTACGTAAGATAAAATTACGTAATTTACCGGTAAGAATATCCATAAAATTAATTAGCACTTCGTTAAAGGGACATTTCTTCAGGTTAGACTGAAGGATAAATGTATGTGAGGCTTCATGAGTGTCGTATTTACTATACTTGGCGTGTCGCCAGTGTATTGAGGTGGTATTTAACCAAGAATGTGTGGGAGGGAAGTGACCACGCCCTCCAGCCCACTGGCTTTCCCGGGGAATGGAGACATTCTTCCTTGAAGGAAGAATGAGTCCTTTTCTTTTTTTTACCTTGGTACGTGGGGGAAGGGTGGCTATAACTACCCTTCCCCTAAGTGTCTGTTTAAGAACAAAGCAGTTTCCTAAAATTTAGCTTAAATAATGGGACATTTCTCCATTAGACAAATTAGTTTGTTGCAGAAATATGCATGGAAACCATCCACTGATGGTACATCTCCACCCTGTCTTCTCCTCGGGCAAATATCCAGTAGTTTCACCAGAATTTCTGGAAGCTTTCCCATCTTTCACTCACCCGAGAGCTTCCTTGTTTATACATTACAGTATTACAATACGTTGTATGTCTTGTGTTACATTACTAATACATTTTATTGTATTCATAAAACGTGCATTTATATTTTACTATTAAAACGTTACCTGACGTTTTAACAAATATCTGTTGTAAGCAAATTTAGGATAAGTCACTTGTATCTGTAAGTCCAAGCAAAATACAGATGCTGTTATACACTGACTGGCAAAACCTTTGGCGAGTTTGAGCAGTGGATAATTGCGCACAAAATGCGTCCTGAAGGAATAACAGGGAAGGCAGGCAGAACGCAATAGTAATATTAAACAATGAAATTAGGGACTAATAGTAAAAAAGGTGTCCTTCAAGGCACGGTACTCGCCCCATTTCAGTTCCTTATTCTCATTTCTGACAGACAATACTAGAATTTGTGTGAAGGTGGTATCCATATAAGACATAGCGAGCCTCCAAACTGATATAAACATATTGTTCCAGTGAGCTACTGATATGATCAGCGAGGATAAATTTCGATTACTATGTCACTGAAGAAATGGAAGAAATAAAAACAAGACAGCAAGACAAACTCGAACCACTCAATAGAACGTAAGTAAAATGTGAACGATCTAGGAGTGATAATGTCAGACGATTTCTCAATCAAGGAGCTAAAGAATATTATCGCAACTACAAAAAAAATTGATTGGATAACTAGAACCTTCAAAACAGGAAATGCAAGTGATGATAATCATCCGGTCACTCTAGCTGGAATATTGCTGTGTACTGACAGCCCTCTTGAAGGCCGGCGAAAATGCTGAGCTAGAGAATGTGCAGAGAACTTTCACATTTCATATAAATTCAGTTAAGCACCTAAATTATTGGGAGGGCGTAGTCTCAAGAAGTCTGCTAGTTAAAACGCAGGCCAGAAAGATGGATCATATTACTATACCGGGAAGATACTAGAGGGATTAGTCCTAAACCTGCACACAAAAATAACTACATATTAACACCAAAAGGCTTGGCAAACGGTGCAGGGAAAAAGTGTGGAGCGACGGGGAGTGAAGACTGTGTAAGACCACGACTCGATATCCATCCTTCATGCATAGCAAACCACTGTCTTGAAGACCAAATTCGACGGAGTCTTCAAAAACAGCCCCTGATCAGCCGAGTTGTGGTGCATGCATTAGACAGCGGGCACAAACAGCTTGATCGATGAGGCCAACAACCAGGAGGCCTAGTGAGGGACCGGACCGTGGGGGAAGGGGGGAGGGCCTTGTTCCTAGGCCTTTTGTCTATTCATATGCTCTTGAGCTGCCCTCTACAGAATTCAGAGGTATGGCCAACTACTACACCCGCCCCAGGATCGAACCCAGGTTTGAGAGCCGAAGGCGCAACCACTGAGGTACTAGCCACGAAAATAATTTGCCGAGTGCATTGCAAGGTAAAAATTTAGGGGACTGTAAGCTAATTATGTTTGGGTGTATTATTAAAAATCTTTCTATTTTTACCTGGATAATGGCCTGTACATAATTATATGACTGACGTCACGGGGCTAAGCCGAAATGCTGTCAGGCGATGTGCTGGAAATAAGTCAGTTTTGACTTTTGGTTATCCTTGGTAATTTACGTTATTATGTATGATAATTGTACTTAATGTGTCTGCACCTAAATACTTACTGGGATACTAAGTTTGCACTAAGTGTATGCACAGGTACACTATAAGTACAATTATCATAGTGTAAATTACGTAGGATAACCCAAAAAGTAAGTGTCAGTAACAGGAGCTCTCTCTCTCCGCGCGCGCCCCTCAAGGAAGGTTCCTTGATGTTGGTGAGGGGCTCTTGATTTAGGGAATTGAATCTGTGCTCCAGTTCCCCGAATTAAGCCTGAATGCCTTCCACATCCCCCCCAGGCGCTGTATAATCCTCCGGGTTTAGCGCTTCCCCCTTGATTATAATAATAATCTCTCTCGCGCGCGCGCACTACTTCCATGCTATCTCACGTTCTCAAGTGCTGTTATTATCTCGCATGAGCTCTCTAGCGATCTCTCCCCCTCGAGCGAGAAACGAATAGGCAAGTTTTATACACCTGCTGCCCCTCTTCACCTATCCAGGAATGTATACCTGGGTAATAACGTCATTAGACTGCTCTCTTAACAACAACCACAACAAAAATCAGTTGCCAGTAATAATAAAAATGGAACCGAGGAGCATTATCAGTAGAACTAAAAATAAGTAAACTTGAATAAGTAACTGAAGCTTAGCTCCTTATACCTAGCCCTCAACTCTTCCCCAATACCTCTGCTTTCTCACTACCCCTCCAGTCTTCCACTCTTCCCCTACTCACTTTCCCATTCCCTTCCCCCTCCCCACCACCACAATGTGGGCAGTAACCCACCTACACAACAAGTAGCAGTGACGTTAACGTCACTGGGAGGTATTACCTTACCTGGAGGTTATTCCGGGGATCAACGCTCCCGCGGCCCGGTCCATGACCAGGCCTCCCGGTGGATCAGGGCCTGATCAACCAGGCTGTTACTGCTGGCCGCACGCAGTCCAACGTACGAGCCACAGCCTGGCTGATCCGGCACTCACTTTAGGTATCTGTCCAGCTCTTTTGAAGGCAGCCAGGGGTTTATTGGTAATTCCCCTAATGCTTGATGGGAGGCTGTTGAACAGTCTTGGGGCCCCGGACACTTAGGGTGTTTTCTCTTAGTGTACCAATGGCGCCCCTACTGGGGGTATTTTGCATCGCCTGCCTGGTCTTTTACTTTCGTAGGGAGTGATTTGTGTGTGCAGATTCGGGACCATTCCTTCCAGGATTTTCCAAGTGTAGATTATGGTATCTCTCTCTCCTGCGTTCCAACGAGTACAAGTCAAGTGCTTCCAAGCGTTCCCAGTAGTTAAGGTGCTTGACAGAACTTATACGTGCAGTAAAGGATCTCTGTACACACACTAGATCTGCGATTTCACCTGCTTTGAATGGAGATGTTAATGTACAGCAGTATTCCAGCCTAAGAGAACAAGTGATTTGAAAAGGATCATCATTGGCTTGGCATCTCTTGTTCTGAACGTTCTCATTATCAATCCTATCATTTTCTTTGCACTTGTGATCGTGGCACTGTTGTGATCCTTGAAAGTGAGATCCTCAGACATTACTACTCCCAGGTCCCTTACATTATTTTTCCGCTCTATTATATGGCCAGAGTTTGTAGTATACTCTGTTCTAGTTATTATCCTCCAGTTTTCCATAACGAAGTACAATGTAGTTGGAATTTGTCCTCATTGAACATCATATTGTTTACCGTTGCCCATTGGAAAACTTTGTTTATATCTTCTTGGA